ATCTATAAACATGTCCTGAGTGAGGATTAAAAAACGTCACTCTACTTCAGAAAACCATGAGGTAATCTTACGAATGGAATCCAAGCACCAAGGATGGCAAATCAGAAAGAGAGGAGCTTGGGGCATTGACAGAATTGTAGAACTCTTGGCCCAGCCTAAACTGCCCACCTTGGTACTTATTTTACATGTGAGAATATAAGCCTCCATATTATTTAAGGCAGTGTTTTTCGGGGATTTTTGTTATTCATAGCCAAACGCAAGGTTTAACTCAGAATACATATACTCTTATCTACCCATGAGAGAGTAATTTCCTTGAGCAGTTGTGAAGTAACTGATTTGAACATCATCTTTGCATATCAGTTTCCTGAATAAAAGGTATTAACCAGTACTACTGCTCTAGTTCCATGGAATATATAAGACTATTCCTAGACTTTTCATGAGTTGAAAGATGACAAGGCATTAGAAATTAAGGGGAAGAACCCCACCAACATGGAAATACCTGCATCAAGATTATCTGAGTTCAATGAACTAGAAGAGTCAAAGTCTTCAGTTTCAAAAGCTAACTTCTCTAAGTCAGCGAGCTGTCTTTGAATTGAGATGTGTCTCTCTGAAAGGAAAATTTAAGAATTAGAAAATTACATTTTAACAATCTATATTAAAAAAAACTAACAAGACATACATGAACACATTTAAAAAATTTAAAAAAGAAAAAAAAATCTATGTTCCAGTTCCCTTTTTATTCATCACTTCACAGAGTTTTTGTTTTATTTCCTGCAGCCTAACGCCCTGACACCTAGATGGGGAATACTGCTAGGGCTCAGTTTATAAGATGCCAAGTGTGCCTCAAGATGCAAAAAGTTGGGGGAAGAAACATTTGTGTAACCTCACAGCTTTAAAATTTATCTAATTATTCAATATAATTCCACAAAAAAGTGTTTCTGTTCCGTACAAAACACTGAAGAAACATGTCATGTTCCTATTTTCAAAGAACTTTCAATCAGATAGGAGAGATTTAACTATGAACTACAACACAAGGCAGAATGAAATGAATACTTAGGGTAAATATAATGTAGGTATACAGAGCAAAGGGTAATTAATTCCAAGTGCCTTTTCAGAATGTCTTCACTGAAGGAGAGGCATTTGACTGAAGACTTAAGGAATAAATAGAATTCAATAAGTAGAGAATCGGTGGTGGGCCTTTTGAAGGTAAGTAACTTCATAAACAAAGGCATGGGGTATTAAAAAAATACAGACTTTTCTATCGCCCCCCCCCCCGCCCCCGGCTGACTGGAGCTGGTAGAAAAATATGCAGCCAAAATGTAGTAGAGATAAAAAAAGGCATACAATTTATACAAGTGAGTTTGGCCTTTACTCTTTGGGCAATGTTAAGTCTGTCCAGGTTTTTGAGGAAGTGGATGATATGATGGGAATGTGTTTCAGAAGGGTATCTCTGGGTGTCATACCAAGAATCAGTAATTGAGGTGAGAATGGAAAGGTGCAGGAGAACAGAAGGTAAAAAAAAGTAAAGCAGCAAAGAACTTGGGATGTGGATGTAAAGTAAGGGTGAAGAGTAAATTCACGAACGAGTCTAAGATTTTGAGTTTGTATCATTGAGAATAATGGTGCCATTAACCAATAAAGGAAGAAGAAAACAATTCTGGCAGAAAGGAGAAGGAAGAGAAAAAGGGAATTTAGTTCTTGACATAATGGGTTTGATGTACTACTGGTATTTGTGTAGTCAAGTCCAGTAGCCAGCTGAATTGTACTTGGAGCTCAGGCTGGATTCGGACTAGATATAAATCAGTCTCAGTAACACATTTTCGGGTTTCTCAAATATTTCATAAACTTCAAATGACATACTTCTAAATTTTGGAAAAGTATATTTGCAAAGTGGGAGACTAAATACATAAGACTAGGACATAACTGTTAGGAAAAGATCCTCAATGAGACAGGAGATGATGGGATAAACCAGAAGGCTCTCTAATATTCACTATACGATCAAGTTACACAATTTAGAACCTTCAGCCTTTTAAGTTTTATTCTTGATACTGTTACTGTCCTACCTAATTCCATTTCAAGCTTCACTCCCAGTTTCTCTGTTTACCCTTCTATATAATTTGTGTCCCTGTCTGTCCCCCCCATTAATAAGCAGTAAGATAAGGGCTAGGTCCTATTTATCTTTGCAATGGCTATGCAGTAACTTGCAAACAGCAGGCAGTAAAGTCTGTTAAATTTTTTAAAATCATTGATCTTTTTGGATGCAGCAGCACAATTAGTCTATAATTTTGGAATTCAATTCAGTGCTATCAGCCATGCTCAAATTTATTAAAATACAAATTTTTACCTTATTTTTACATGAGAAAATCAGAACACATTATTACTTAATTCGGGGATTGTTCAAAGGAATTATGATATAATTTCTATAAATAGGCAATTTTTTCCCCATTTTAATTGCCAGGTCAGATAATTCAAGTGATAAATCCATGTATATAAACCAAACTATTTAATTTGTAACAATAAAGGCTTTTGGTTTCCATGGTGCAAAGATCTGCATATAAAACAAGATATACAGTACTATATAAAGATGTGCTTTTTGAAATCATTCTAACTACTAAGTGATACAAAATAAGAGAAAGGGGCCTGGTAAATTAGAAGAGGAAATAGAAAATCCTGTGGTCCACTACTGAAGAACACTTCCAAAGAGCTGTCTAAAGATTCATGATATGCTTATGTGCATCTCTGAAATCACTTTCTGGTTCAAGATAGCAGATATCAATCTGTACTTGAATCTACTCAACCTTATTGCAACACACTAATAATCCAGAAGTCAAGAGACAAATCTCATTAAATCAGAGGAGTCCAGAATGCTAGGAGGTTCATTTACAACTTCTGTTACTTTTTCCTCTATTTTCAATTCTATTTCAGGTATGCCATCTTCATCTTGCCTACTTACGACTGATTTCAAAGGACTAATTAGACCATCTAGAAATAATTCCTAAAATGTAATTAATATGTATTTCTAATGCATTTCAGATTTCTCAATTGTTACGTATTTGTCCCAGTAAGGCATTTCCAGGTTACTCAAACACTGCATTCTTCATATTATATACTTGAAAATTTTAGAAAACATGAATAAATCTCCTTAAACTGTTTTAATATATTCTTGATGGTGAGGAGGTAGCGAAAGCATGCATTCCCTAAAGCTGCTAAACCTCGTCTGATTAATATACACAGAAGTGAGGTAGGGAGAATAACTAACTTTAGGAGAGTGGACCCTTTCTATCCCCACTGCAGTTGTGGGTAAAGAAACAACTGGCCTTATTTTGACCTATTTGCACCTACTAGCTCTGATTTATATGAAGGCCTACCTGGCTTTGTCTTTTCCATGATCAGCCCTACTCTTGAATCTACTATAACATCTTGTAAAATAGCAAAATAATTCTATTAGATTACTATCCAAGTGTTTTATGACATTAAACTCACAATTAGCCTACAAGTAGGAAAGATAATGAATTTAAGATGTTTTGTTACAGAAAGAGCATAAGGGTCAATTTATGGATCATAATTTTAACTTTCTTAGACCTTACGTTTAAAAAATGTTCAGAAGATTCTTAAGAAAATGTTACTAATTAATCTTTTAAAGTCCTTTATGGTCCAATAAATCACCATTTAGAAAATACGCAAGCATACTCAGAAGCACAGACGACATCGCCTATTAATTTTCCAACAGCTGACTTCTGATGGAATGAAGCACAATACTCAATTGGTATTTATGTCTGAGGGAAGACATCCATAATCTGGCCGGCTATTAAACTACTCATCATCCTCAAATTCTTTTCGTTAGCAAGCTTTTATAGAAAATGAAATGAGAAAAACCCATCCTTTTGTGTATGTCGAAGCATAAAAGCTAGTTGAAAGCAATTATTTCTAAATCTTGGCAGCGAGGATCTACTACAGTAAACACGGGTTGCCTCGGTTACTGTCACATTTTAAAGGACTTGGTGTGAAGCTGAGGGAAACTACCAGATTAGGCATAACTTCCTATTTGGGTACCAGGAAAAAAAAATTTAAAAAACCTTTCAATGAAAAAGCCCTCAGACTGATTTTGTACCACCCCTGGCCTCCCCATAACCTTCATCGCGACGTCCGCGAGGTTTATGGACATGACCTCTCCCATTCTGTGGCCGGGTACCCAGCTACGCGGGTCCCTCCTGCCGCCCTCATTCCGCTAAACCTGCCTTTCCCCAGAAAAGCCATCCCACTGAAGAAGGGCCTCCCCAGTAAGACGCACTTTCTCGCTTTTCCTGCAGCAGAAAGACCTGGGCCTCCTGCACTTACTGCTTTCAGCCTCGTCAGGGGCAGAGGCTAGGGACGGGGACAGGGCCGGAGCCTGAGCCAGGGCAGGGGCTGGGGCTGGAGCCGAGGCCGGAGTCGGAACCGAATCCGGAGTCGGAGCCGAGTCCGGGGCCGGAGCTGGGACCCGAGCCGAGTCCGGGGCCGAGATCAGGGCCTGGGCCTGGGCCACCTCCTCCTCCTTCTCCAGGGGAAGCAGCTCCTCCTCCGCCATATTCTCCATAGTTACCGCCTCCGTGCCAGACCCGCCCGGGGACCAGGAGGGGCTTACGGCGGGGTCAGAGAACAGGCGTGAATGCCCAGAGGGCTGGATCCAAGGAGTGGGTAAGCAAGTGGGGAGGGCGGGATGCGTGCAATAAACAAAAGATGAAGGATCAGTGACCAAAGCCTGTCAACAGAAAAATTAAAAGCCAGAGGCAGCGATTTGCGGAACCATCCGCTTCCCTTTCCCTGAGGCGTTACGACGCCACCACACACTGCGCAGAAGCGAACTAGCGAAGGCGACCAATGAGGTAAGAGAGTTTTGTTTCCACAGTGCGTCTCCGTTTCAGCCGTCAAACCCTAAACCAAGCCAAGACTACAATTCCCAGGGTGCACCGCGCCGACGGGGGCGGAGCCGGAGTTCTAAAGCCCAGAAGAAAGTCAATGCAAAGCTAAACGGTCGCTCTGGAGCCTTCGAGTGGTAACGGGGTCCGAGTGCAGAACTACATTTCCCAGCGGGCCTCGGGCTCAGGGGTCTCTTTATCCCGGCTGGGACTCCAGAGTCGCCCCTGCCCCCGGCACTGGTAAGGTTGGGGAATGGGGGACGTTCATAGACGTTTTTCTGGGTAGCTTCCTCCTCTTACTCCCGGACCTTGGCGGCTGCTCGCTGGACCGGGGGATTCGAGGGCCACCGGAGCTTACGGCCGGCGACTCTGTGGGCGGACCCGGAGTCGAGTCCTCTCGGTGAAGGGTGTGGTTCTGGCCCGGCCCTGCCTCTGGGGGCTGTCTCTCGCTCTGCGTAGAGGCTGGTCACGTCCCGCGAACGCCGTGGGTCCCCGCGACTTCGGAGCCGCTGACGAGCTTGCCTGTCAGTCCGGCTGATTGGAGTTGGGGTCTGCTTTTCGTTTCGCACCCTTACCCACACCGTGACCCGAACACTCTTATTTTACTTCGGCTTTAATCTACACATTCCCAGTTTCTTAAGCGCTGCTTGGTGGATGTAAGCGTCTGGTGGAAAAGTGCCCGGTCCCCGCCCCCTTCCCTCCGGTCCCCGCTCGTGTCCAGGCTTTTAATACCCGAACTCTGAGTGCGTGGAGCTTTGGCCATTTGATTGTTGCAGTTCAGATTTGCTAAGGCATGTGACAGAGAGGCCCCAGCCCCGCCGTAGTACTTCTTTTACCTTTATTCTAGGCCTGCAGGAGTTTAAATCGCACTCGTGCGAGCCCGCGGGGACGGACACGGGGGAAAAAAAGTTTTTCGCTTCTCTGACTGGGACGGGCCCGAACGTTATTGGCAACAGGAGAGGGAAGCCTCTTTTAGTTTCAGGTGGAAGACAATTAAAAATGGAATAATAATACATAATGCTTACAGAAATGAGTAGTGGCTATTTGTCCATCATCCAAGAATCCTTTATTTTTTTCCTTCTGAAAACTAGGTGGTTAATGAAAGCTTGATTCAGCGTGTCGATCTCATCATTTATTACCAGCTGGAAAACAAGATGAGAAGGGTTAGATTTGAGCATGTGCATTCTGTGGGAATTTTAGCGAGAATTTCCAGGCACGGTCCCGCTCTTGAGACATCCTAAAGAAGGAATCTTCCTAGTTTGAAGAATTACCGTATTTTGCTGTGTATAATGCGTACTTTTTGCCCAAATTTTTGAGGGGAAAAAATAGGGATGCGCATTACACATGGGTATAATGATTTCATACCGTGGGTATAAAAATCCCTTCTATAATGCACACGAAGGCACGGCAAGTGAGTATTACTAGTCTATTGCTGCCTAAATTATACTAAAGCTTAGTGGCTTAAAACGATAAACATTTATTCCCCCACGGTTTCAATAGGTCAGGAATTCAGAAGTGGCTTTTTGGATGTGTCTAGCTCAGGGTCTCTTGTGAGCTTGTGAAAATACCTGGCGAGGATGCTGCCAGTGTGAAGGCTCGATTAGGGCTTCAGGATCAGCCTCAGAGGTGGCTCACTCACGTTCTTGGCACTGGGTTGTTTTTTGGCAAGAGGCCGAAGTTCTTTGCTGGTAGGTATCTCTGTGGGCTACTTGAACGTCTTCATGACGTGGTGACCGGCTTTCTCTAGAATGGACAGTTTAAGACAGAGAAGGGCCGAGCCACAATGTCTTGTATGACCTAGCCACATACGCCATTTAGCAATATCTTATTGGAAGCACAGGGCAGCCCTGTTTATTGTGAGAGAGGACGACTACAGAAGATTGTAATTACCAGGCAGCAGAGATCATCAGGAGCCACTTTGGAGGCTGGCCAGCACAGGAGGTCTCCTCTCATTTAGGTTATATTTCGATTTTCATAAAATCAATTTGAATTTCACACTTTGTAATTCACTTGCCATAATGTAAAGCACTTGCCATAGTAAACATAGAGGTGTTTTTCCTTCAGTAGACCACTCTCTGCAGTGTTTTTTTTTTTCCAATTTGTTTTGTGGGTAAGAGGTTTATTTAAGAACATTTTTATTTTTTTCCAGATAAGAGTTTTAAATTAGCATTATTTTGTATTCAAAGCAATATCAGACCAACATGAATTGAGTTTAAATTATAAAAAGAATTATATAACCATTATATAGTCCATTGCCTCTAAGCAATTCACTTTATGGAAATTATTGTTTTTTTATTGCATTGTTTGCACTGTGCCTGCCCCACCCCAAGTGGAATGGGAATCCTTACAGCAAAAAGATGATTAATCTGGAAGCTCAACTGTGAATTCAAATATTGCCATAAGTTATCTTGCAAAGCCAAATTCCAGGGTAATTTGGAATCTGCTCTTAGAAGTCCATATTGAGTATTCTCTAATAATATTTATTATTATATTTTTTGTTAGCTATCTATAGGGAACTGGTCCACATGGCAATGGTGAATGTAGCTTAGCTCTGGTTCGGAAAACTGACAGGTGCCAGGGGGCACACAGGAGCCAGGCCCCCAGTTCAGTGTTCCCATGGGGGACCAGGCCTGCATTGTATCTAGGCTGCTGTGAGGCTTGCTTTTGCTAAGACTCCCTCACTCTGAGTTAAGACAGCAGATGTTTAATGTATATCTTTGAAGTGACTCCTTAAAGTCTGTGCTAAGCATTCCAAGGATGGAATGTAACCAGACCAATCACTTTTATCATTCCCTTGCATTTGCAACATTCTTTCCTTTGTTAGCTGTAAGAAGTAATCACTTAAAGCAAACCCAAGAATAATGAATGAGGACCTTCCTTGACGTAATGCTCCCAGAAAGCAATAAAAGCTTGTCCAGGTAAAGGTCGGGGTGCTCTCTCACTCAGAGAGTGGCCATTCAGTCCCTTTTTTCCATAGGATTTCTGCAGTCCGTGTGATTTTTTTCATCACATCCACAACACTGTGGACACTGCTGACCAGAGTCTGTATTAGCTATCAGCATTTTTCTTTTCTTCGTATTCATTGAAGCATTCTAGAAGTTTGATTTTATGTAGTGGATCATTCTTTCATAGAACTTCCCTGACGGTGAGCATGACCAGGAGTATTTACAACTGCTTGGTTTCTAGCCTTTATGTTGATAGTCTTAGTATGCACTACTACCAGCAATAAACTCTCCTTGGGGCTTTGCTTCTAGACCCCCTTTTATATTTTCCTGTCCCAGCAGTCCTGGTGATGTTCCCACTTTCTGGCCTCTGTGTTTCAGAGCAGGATGCTTTTGGCATACTCCAACTCGACAGTGTTTATTGCCATATGGAATGACTGTGGTTGTCTTAGTTGCTTTTTCTGGGGGAGTGAGTGGGCAGGGATAAGCAGCCAACAGTACTGAGTTGGCCGGCGCAGTGCTGGAAAAGTAAGACTGGCATGGGAAGGTAACAGAAGATATGCAGTGGGCAGGTGTTGGTATGGCTCAGAATTAAAGAGTGAATCTTCTAAAAAAGAGAAAAGAATCATTTATTCTTTCACTCAGCAAGCATTTATGAGCACCTCCTAAGTTTTTAATAGAGAGTAATTTGCTCTTTAGGGAGCTAGTAGAAAGACAGTCACGTCTGATAGTCTTTATTTAGACCCTATTACCGCGCTGCCTTGTGCAAGGTATTTTTAATATCCATTGTTTCATTTGAGTCCTTCAAAACCCTGCTGGGATGGGTTGTCTCAATTTTACACATAATGAAACAGGCTCAAAAAATGAATGTGATTCGCCCAAAGACTCCCTCCATGAGTGACAGAGAGGGTGTGTCGGGAACATGAAGACATTATGACTAATTGGTTTTGAGGTGTGGGTGGGTCAAAATGTAGTTGTCCTGCAGGCAGTTGAAAATAGTGATGTGATGCTTGAGAAAAGTCAGAGCTGAAGGCACAGATTTGAGAGTCATTCCTGAAAAGGTGATAGATGAAGCCAGAGGAAAGGAACAGGTGATTCTGAGGGAGAATATAACTGAAATAAAATGGAACAGTGAGAGAGTCCTGTCATCTTAGGGGTGGTTAGAAAGTGGAAATTGGTTTGTAAAACTCCAACCTTTAAAAAACGGAAGGAATAATTTCTAAGGTTATTTTTGTTTGTTGTGGTGATGAAAAACACATAATGTGTTTTTACTGTTTATTTTAGCTTTTCAAAATGTCCAACAAAGACTCTTGTGGAAAAACAGAGACATCTCAGAGAAAAGACATCACCTCATTATCCAACTTTGATGAAGAAGTAAGAATTTTGATTTGTTAACCCAAAGACACCCTTCTTTACTGTTTATTTTTGTGTAATGCAAAAAATACTCCTTTGTTTTCAAATGACATATGTAAGCATATAGTTTTGCCCTTTTGGCCCAGGGGAAGTCATTTGTTTTTCCTGTTCTCTGCTTGCATTATTTTATTTATTCCTCACAACTCTATCAGGTAGGTAATGTTATTATACAATTACACAAATGTCTTCATTTGTCCCAATTACACAAATGAAGAAACCAAAACTTAGAGAGGTAAGTAATTTGCTTACGCATTTCTGACTTCAATTCTAACCCTCCCCAGAATCCTCCTTTTCATAGAAATAATTCACCGTTAGACCATTTCCCACCTCTTCTCCCTTCTGCATTTACTCTGCATTGGATAGGATCATGTGCTCACCAATCAAAATCGGGAGGAGGCTGAGGGTAGGGAATGCATGCTAACCCTGTTCCTTTTCCTGATACTGTCAGAACAGTACTCTAAGCAGTGTTTTTGGTGGGTGAAATTTAGGATAGCTAAATAATTGAGCTGGGTGTTGTCTCCAGGAAGCAAGGCTGCCGCGTGATTGATTTAACCAAAACAAGCAAAATCCCCTGCATTCAGTTTTATTGTAGACTCTGAGTACTCTGTGTAGTGCATCATCAAAGTTAGATAGTGTTCATGCTACATTACCATCCAAGATGAGAGATGACAGTCTGGCAAAGGTAAGTATTCACTAAAGAAGTCACTTCTGTGGTAGCAGTTTAGTTCATAAAGCTTTTTTTTTTTTATCATTGAATGAACTATCTTCTAGATTGTTACATTTTTTGGTGTTTGTTCTTTGCTTACTAACTTCCTGATTACTAATTTGGCCTCCCAGGTATACTAGTAATTGGAAAGAGGACCCTGGAGTGTGGCCTTGATCTATGCAACCTTATTTGACACTAGGAATTGACATGCTGTGTGCAATTCTCCTTTACCTACTTGAACTAGACTTTTCTTGCCATCACTCCTCCAAATATGTTGTCATTAAGGCCAGCAGTGGTTCCCATGTTGCTAGATCCATTGGTCAGTTTTAAGACCTCATCTGACTTGACCAATCAGCAATATTTGACAAACTCATTTCACCTTCTCTTTCAAACACTTTCTTCACTTAGCTTTTGAGACTAAGTGAGGAAAGAAAATCAGGTTCGTCTGATTTCAGGTCTGATTTTCTTTCCTCGCTAGTGACTTCTTCACAGTGTCATCTTCTTAAACAATAACCTTTCAAGGGCCCAGCCTCAGTTTTCCCAGTTTGGTAAATTACAATTCCGTTCTTTCAGTTGCTTGATCACAAACCCTGGTCTTCATCCTCTACCTGCATTCAGTCTGTCAGCAAATTCTATCAGCTTTCTTTCTCTCAGTAATGTATTCGGAGTCTGACTCCCTCCCCGCTGCTATCACCCTGATCAAGGTGGTGGACTTGCTTTTCTAGATTATTGCAATAGCTTCTAAATTGATCTCCTTGCTTCTGCCTTTGCCTCCTTGTGTTCTCAACACAGCAGCCAGAGTGATCCTATTTAAAGGTAAGTCAGATCACGTCACCCCTTCACTCAGTACATTCTAGTGGTTTTCCCCTTCATCCGGAGTCAAAGAAAGCTACAATCCGTGCTGGGGCGGACATGGTGACCTACTCTCCACATCTCCTCTCCCTCTCATTCCCCCTCTGTTTTCTCCACTTCTTGGCTTCCTTGCTGTGTTCCAACAAGCCAGCGCATTCCTGCCACAGGGGTTTGCCCTTGCTGCTCTTTCCTTTGAACTGAAGATACTTCCCTACTCTCATGGTTTGTTCCATCCCTTCTCTAGGTCTTGACTCTTTAAAATTGCAACGGCCTCAACCCCCACCTGCCAGCATTTCCTGATTCTCTTCTGTGCTTTATTTTTTTCCGTAGCATAGTGTGACACACCAAATATATTACTTACGTGTAAAGTCCTATACTAGATTTTCACTTCCCTGAGGGTAGGGACTTTGATAGTTTTTTTCATTAATCTGTCACCACTGTCTAGAATATCATTGGCACATGGTAGGTACTGAGAATATATTTGTCCTGGGTCTGTTGAATTCAGGACCCACTGAAAAATAACTGGGTATATGGATTTGCTCGGTAGAAGACCGAATTCCTCCATGCCCATGCCACCTCCTAGGGCCCTTACCCAAGCTGTCATCTGGCTGTCTGTGACACTTGTATCCATTCTCATCTCTAATTTAAGAGAACCTTGATTTTCTGATTTCTAGTTGAATCTACCTTCGAGTTGGACTTCTCTTCCTCTTACCAGTTTGTGTGCCTTTGAACATTTTTCCCTGCTGAAATTTATTATTAATGTAGAAGGAATGTTGATTTATAACAGTGAGGAAATAATGTTGTCTTATACTGTGCTTTATTTTGTGCTCTTCTTTCCCTTTTTTCCAAATGACATTCTTAGGATAAGAAAGATAAAAGGACCTCGGCAAGTTCTACGAGTTCATCTTCCTCTAGAAGATATGGTTCATCAGAGAAGAGAAAACTGGTAAGTGTTTAGATACTATAACTAACTCTGAAACTTATTTATATTAGAGTTTGTATGTACAGTTAGAAAGTTTATGATGTAAATTCCTCCACTGCTGTTTCATTAGTTTTTTTCTTTGTATTATACTTGCTTTTTGATAGCCAATGGAAAGACAGCAGGGGTTTTTTTAGTTCCTTTCATTCACCAAAAACCATTTATCAAGTTCCTTATTTATTTGTGCTGATAAGCCCTATCATTTGGGATTAGATAACATGGATTTAAATTTAGACATTTTAAAGTCTTTTTCTATGTATTGTTATATTTGTCTTTACAATTTTCTTTTGAGGTAGCCAAAGAGGATATGGTGTTTGCATTTTCAGACTCAGAAATCAAGACCCAGAAGGTTAAGTGACTTGTCCAAGGACACAAAATTATACAGCAAATTTTCACTTCATGTCATAGATAGGTTCTGTGACCTTTATGCCAAGTGATTTCTAATGAAACTGATTTTACTGTAGGCTAATTGCTAGGAATAAGAGTTAAGTTCCTATAGCATCTCATCAATGTTATAATGAAATGATAAAGGAAATGGTGTTATTCAGGGACCTGCTGTGTCCAGCAACAAAGCCAAGTCCAGAGTTCTTTCCACTCTCACACAAATAATTAGAAGCAGTGACAGCAAACTAAACACATGAAGCTAGTGCACAGGTGGTTGGTGAAGCACTTACACATTCAAGTTGTAATTAGGTTTATGTCAGGATAGCCACAGAGTTGTGGGTAATAAGAAAAAGTAGTGGAAGTTCCCTGCATGCAGAACTGTTTTTTAAGAACTTGTGTGTTTTCATATAATGAAACTGCTGTTTCAACTTATTGTTGCTATATTAACCTTCTTCAGACACTGATTTCATCATATTTCCTCTCTGTTAAAAAACCTTTACTCCCTTTTCAGTTTGTCATTCAGGACGCTCATTTGGTCACACTCTAACTCTTAGCTGAGAATGCCTTTTTTCTTTTACCCATTAATCTTTATTCAATCTATAGTCAACCTTTAGCATCTATTTTGTCCACTTTTCTTCCTAGGTATGTTCTAACTTTTGGTGGTTGATGTTTTGAACAGTCTTACAACTTATTGTCTACTCTTCTGCTTCGGTACTTAGTTGTGTCCTTACATTAGGTTATTCGTACATACTCCTCTACTTCTCTTTATTTTTTACTTTAAGCTCTTTAGGACAGGGCTATATCCTGTTCTTCTCTTATTTTTCTTGTGCCTAGCCTGTGTCCCAGAATACATAGAGAGAAAGGGTGGGAGAGTAGAGATTAGACAGATCTGCTGCTGACCTGCTGTGTGACATTGAGGAAGATAATTTGCTCTGTTTGAGCCTTGGGTACTTTATCTGTAACATGGGGATGATAATAATATCTGTCTCAGTTAGATTATTGGAAGGATTGACTAAATTGTTGTGTGAACCTGTTCACTAGAATGTAAATAGGGGGAAAAACAAATAGTCTCCTAGTCTCCTTCCCTGTAACTCTAGTGCCACTGCACAACTTATATTTGTTAAATGGTATATTTTTTTCTTTCAGAAATCAGATCATATAGACATTCCGAACTGTAATATAAAAAGAAGACAAGATCTGAAAAGGTAAATTCCCCCCTTTTCTTGGTATGTTTTACTTTTTTGGCCTAGAATTGAGAATCTAAATAATTAGACTTGCAAAATCATTGGCTTACTGTGATTAGTACTATTTTGAATGCAGATATTTCTAGCTACATCACATTTTATGATTTTTGAATTGTCTTAATATAAATTTGAGGAAAAGTTGAGTGAAATAAAACATTTCAGAATTCTTTATACATAAAAGATACTATCAAATAAAATGTAGATTTTTATCTCAAGTGATTTGATTTTGACACAACAGAGCAATCTTGCCACTGATAATATTGAGAAATTATTGTTCTGCACTGTCATATTTTAAAATGTTGGTTACTAAATTTTTAAATAATCTAATTATAATAATTAATTTTTTACAAAATTACACATTCTTTATTGCAAGAGTTCAATCTAGGATGTTGATATTCAGCCTTGGGTGAATATTGATGTTATACTCAATTGTAAAAAAATGCATGTTTGCTGTATGTCTAATTTATCTAAAAAGATCTCAGAACTTTAGTATTTTGGGTTGTGAATATAAACCTGAATTATTGCACTGTAGCATTTCACAAAACTAGTTGATAAGAGGTCATTTTAAAGTTTAATTTGTTGGTGTTTTAAAAGGTATGATAATGTTGAATTTTTATTTAATTATGACCATATAAAACATGGTGCATAGATTTCCATGAAATATGCAGCACAGGGCTATTGTGAAGAACAAATAAAATAGGAATATGGAAATGCTCAGATAACTACAAGTTCCTGTTAAAAATTTTATTTGTTTTGCATGTTGTTTTCCTGATTTTTCTTTAATATGGTTGACATCTTACATGATATACCATTAAGTGCTAGTCAAGGTCCAATAAAATTTAAAGTTTTGTATTAAAATGACCACTTCATAAGTTACATAAGAGTGTAATCAGTATGTTGTAAATTTGAAACTAATACAATATTGTGTGTTAACTGAAATTGAAAAATTAAGAATATTTTTAAAAGAGTAATAAAAACAATTTAGTTTTTTTTATTGTTACTTATTAACAGATAAATAATGACAGGCCGTCTTTTTGTAGGACTAGATAGCAAAGTAAATAAAACCAGGTGAAGAGTCAGGTTTAACTCCTGTGAAAGCTCTGAGATGTTTATAATTTGTTCTTTCATAAGTATTTGAGAAGTCACTTTATTACCATCTCTTGGTAATGCTGGACTGTAATCTAATTAGGGGGAAGGACTCTACCTGTTGTGTCTTCCACTGCCACTCCAGTGCCTAGAGGTGTGACAGGCGCTTGGAAAGTGCTCTAGGATTTATTAATATAAATTAATGGATTGTGTTATGTGGAAATTTTTTCCCCTTTCTTTCTGACTACAAACTAGTATTATCTACGTTTATTAAGCAGGAGAATATTACTATCACCTGTAGCTATTGCATCTTCTAATATTTTTAGCAAATTTGTTTCTGACCTTTTTACTATGTTTATTTAAATTGTTGAGACCCCATTATGTATACAGATTTATGCCCTGATTGTTTTTTGCTTAATAGTATGTCAGTATGTTTTATATCATTGAAAACTTTTCAAAAGATCATTTAAAATGACTATGATATTTTCTTATAATTGATAAAATGGTTCTTAGTCATTTCAAAATTTTTTACAATTTACCTTGTACTTGAGTTTTTGCTGCTAAAAGTAATCCTGAATTGAATCTTTTTTTTTGGTTTATTTATTTTTTCACCTTGATATTCTAAAATGGGAATTACTGAGAAGTCAAAGAATATGAACTTTTTTTTTTTTAAATATTTTATTTATTTATTTTATTTTTTTTTTTTAGAGAGGGAAGGGGGAGAGAGAGAGAGAGAGAGAGAGAGAGAGAGAGAAACATCAATGTACGGTTGCTGGGGGTTATGGCCTGCAACCCAGGAATGTACCCTGGCTGGGAATCGAACCTGGGACACTTTGGTTCCCAGCCCGCGCTCAATCCACTGAGCTACGCCAGCCAGGGAGAATATGAACTTTTTAGAATTCTTAATTATAATTTCAAATTCCTTTGTGCAACTGTAATGATTTTACATTTCCACTAGCAACAAATGAGAGGGGATCCATTTTACAACTTGCCGATATATGTTATTTAAGAATCTTTGCTAATTTGATAGAAAAATGGTATGTTGTAATGAGCATTTTATAATTAGTACGGAAGTGAGATTTATTTCTTTGAATGTTTATTAGCTTTCCCTTTTTCATTAATTTTCTGTTTACGGGATATTCTGGAGTCTTAGGACTTGTTGATGTGCTTTTTATATAATCAGGCTAATAAGCTATCATATATATATGTGTATATGTATATATACACACACACATATAAAATGCCATTTCCCAGTTCTTAAAATTTGTTAATGCTAACAAATTTTTGCTATGCTTTTTGATGTGCATTTTATTTAATAAGGCTAATAAGCTGTCATATGTACATGTATATATATAAATACATACACATATATAAAATGCCATTTCCCAGTTCTTTGAATTTTTTTTATGCTATGCAAAAGGTTAATATGCTAAAGTTTGAAAGTAAATGGTCATTTACATTTATTACTTTCTCTTGTGATTTTTCCCGCAGCTTTTAAATTTAGGAAGCTCTCTGTTAAAAAATTAAATAAATATTCTCTTTTTTCCCCTGTGGTTTTTAAGGGTTTGGTATGAAATATAGCAATTATTATAATAGTAATTATTTTGCACTTAAGTGTTTAATCTAAGTGTCTGATATTTTACAAAGCTATAAATTTGTTTTTGTTGTTTCCCCCAAATAGCAAACCAAGTATTCTAAATGGAATAATAAAGGATTATTCCACAAATGGAATAATCCTTTTCATTTCATTCTTAATGTAGTCATTTCCACTTTTTAGGAAGTTTGCGTCAGGCTAGTTCTATCCTTTCCTAACTAAAATGGTACAGTGTAAATTGTAATGTAACCTGGGTTTCTATGTTGCTTTACAGGCCAAATGTAGACCCTGACATTCCAAGAAAGAGACCAAAACTCACTTCGTCATCCCAAGGACCTGTTACACTCAAAGAAGCATCATATTCTAATGATAATCAAATTATTTCACAAAGTCATTCTTCAGGTGGAGCTAAAAGACATAAGAGTAAATGTGTAGATTTGAAAGTGAAAGATATTAAACCGACAAATGTTAGGAGTAACCTTGACCATGGAAGTAAAAACCATAGCAGTTCTAAAATTGCCAAAGATGTGAAACCTGAAGCCGAAGGCCAGGCCGGTGAAAGAGCGTGGCCTCGTGTACTTGCTCAGAGGGAGAAGATGAAGGAGCCTAGGAAAGAAAGGCACAGTAAATATAGAGACAGTTCTGAAAAACGTGCTGTGGAAAAAGGCAAGAGAATTCAATTTTCTCAGGATTATAATTCCAACAAGATAATTAAAGAACCCTGTGACTCCAGAAGAAGGAAAGTCAGTTTCAAAATTCCAGTAAAATCTCACGATCCCCATCAGAAACTTGTAGAAGAAAATGTTTTCCTTTCAGATTCCAGCAAGTCAAGAACTAAGCAGAAGAAAAAAGGGCGCCTGGAAAGCTTTCAGGGTCCATCAAATTTGATGAGGCACAAAAGTAAACATTTATTTTCAGATTCTACTTATAAGCATATGGTTCATGAGTGGAGAGGAAAATCTCATCATGAGCATCAAGAAAGTAATGATTCAACTTCAAGTGAAAACCTGACCCAGGTAAAGTATTGTAAAATACAGACTAGGTTTTAGCAGAGACTAATATAGTTCCCATTACTGATAATAATCATAGAGGGCTGGTATAAATTTAGTCAGGAAGATATGTACTGGTTTCTTTATTTTACCCCTTCAATTCCAACTTCCTTAGGAAGGTATCCTGGCACCTATCAAGGATCCATAAAAGAAGAGAATGGGTAAAAATGTAGCAGGACGCAGTTACAGGTAGTCCTTTACAAAAGGCACAGTGGCAGTCTTCTAGGCTCTTCTTTGACCCCGGGTACTGTGGAACACCCAGGTTTTAGTCTTCTGAATAGCTTATTATTATTATTATTTCAGCAAGTTATTTTTTAGGTGCCACTCTGTGCCAGGCATTTCGATAAACTAGAAGGGACACACCTCTCTATTCAGGAGCTCATGCATGTGAGAAGATGCACAACACTCACCTAAGTCTGATAAGTACTTAGACTTAATATGGGAATTCACAGCAGACAATGAATGTAGCCTTGGTACACTGTGGGGAGATTGAAGGTTTACCAAGATGGGGTTACATTTAAACTGAGAACTAAGGAATGAATGGGAACTAGTTGGGGGGAGGTGAGATGAGGTGAGGTGGGATGGGAGAGGGAGGGATGTTCCAGGCAAAGGGAACTAACTGCGTGTGCAGAGATGCAGGCTAGAGAGCACAGCGCAGCTGTTTTCTTTTTAAGTAATTGGAATAGATTGGCACTAGTTTGAGAACCTGTTCTCTATAGCAAAATTATTTACCTTTAAGAAAACTTCTAGAATTTTAGAACCTCAGAATTTTGAAATTTGGAGACTGCTTATAAATGGGAGTGGTTGAGTTTACCTGCTTTTAGCTGTCGGGACTATAGATTGCAGTGGTAAAGCACTTGCTATGGTACTTTAAAATGGAGGGATAATAACTAAGGAGGCCAGAAGAGCTTGAGACAGAGAGAGCTGTTCATTCAGTGTACTGGAAGGGTTCCAAAGAGGAAAAGAATTGAGTTTGTTCTTGTTTTGCTTTCCTTTTTTTAAATTTTTATATATCATTTTTATTTTCAATTGCAGTTGACACAGATTATCATATTAGTTTTAGGTGTATACCCCAGTGATTAGACATTACATAACTAAGTGATCACCCCAACTGCATACATAGTTGTTAGAATGTTATTGACTATATTTTTTATGCCGTACTTCACATCCTCATGACTGTTCTGTAACAACTACCTTGTGCTTCTTAATCCCTTCATCATTTTCACCCACCTTCCCCAACTCCCCTCCCATATGGCAACCATCAAAATGTGCTTTGTATCTATGACCCTGCTTCTGTTCTGCCTGTTCTGTTTTTTAGATTCAGTTTTTGATAGATCTGTATTTGTTGCCATTTTATCATTAAAATTTTTATCTTTTTTTTTCTTTTTAAAGAAAACTCTTTTAACATTTCATGTAATACTGGTTTGGTGATGATGAACTTCTTTAGCTTTTTCTTGTCTGGGAAGCTCTTATCTGTCCTTTTATTCTAAATGATAGCTTTGCTGGGTAGAGCGATGTAGGTTCCTGCTTCATATCACTGAGTATTTCTTGCCATTCCCCTCTGGCCTGCAAAGTTTTTGTTGAGAAATCAGCTGACAGTCTTATGAAGGCTCCTTTGTAGATAACTAATTGTTTTTCTCTTGTTCTTTTTAGGACTCTCTCTTTGTCTTTTAACTTTTCCAATTTTAATTACGGTGTGTCTTGGTGTGGGCCTCTTTGGGTTCATCTTTGGGTTTAGGACTCTGCACTTCCTGGACTTGTATGTGTATTTCCTTCACCAAGTTAGTGAAATTTTCTGTCATTATTGTTTCAAATATGTTTCTAATTTCTTGCTCTCCCTCTTCTCCTTCTGGCACCCCTATGATTTGAATGTTGGTGTGCTTGAAGTTATCCCAGAGGCTCCTTACACTGTCCTCATTTTTTGGATTCTTTTTTGTTTTTGCTGTTCTGAACATTGGTGGTTTTTAGCTTCCTTATATTTCAAATTGCTGATTTGATTTTTGGTTTCATCCACTCTACTGTTGATTCCTATAGATTGTTCTTTATTTTAATTAGTGTATCCTTCATTTCTGAGTGGATCTATTTTAAGCTGTTGAGGTTCTCACTAAGCTCATTGAGAATTCTTATAACCAGTGTTTTGAACTCTGCAGCAGGTGGATTGTTTGTCTCTGTTTTGTTTAGTTCTTTTTCTGGTGATCTGTTTTCTTTCATTTGGGCCATGTTTCCTTGTCTCCTCAATTTGGGAGCCTCCTTGTGTTTGTTTCTATATAGTAGGTAGAGCTGCTGTATCTCCCAGGCTTGGTAGCGTGTCCTAATATAGTAGGTGTCCTGTAGGGTCCAGTGGCATAGCCTCCCTGTTCACCTGAGCTGGGCGCTTGAGGTGTGCCCCCCATATGGGCTGTGTACACCTCCTCTTGTAGTTGAGCCTTGACTGCTGTTGGACTGTTAGTGGGAGGGATTTACCCCCAGGCTGATCAGCTACAAGGACTGGCTGTGACCATTGACTGAGGATCAGTCATGCTGGGGCCCACCCCACAAAGCAGGACTTACTTCAACAGGGCTCTGGTGGCTGCTGAATTTACCCCTTGAGTGTGTCACTTGTGGGGTGGTTGTGTTTCAGTGTGGTCTGAAGCTGTCCACTGGGTGCACTGGCTCGGGTGCCCCCCAAAAAGTGCAGGATAAGGTCAGCCACCTCTGCCTGGGGCCAGCCACCATGAGAGGCAGAGTGATCTGCAGATGGCTGCTACTTATGTTGGGCTGAGAGGTGTCCAGGCAAGGCCAAGCTGTCTGTGAACCAAGGCTGGCTGCTGCTAGGACCAGGCCTAGGACCACTTACTGGTAAGTGAGAGGTACGGGACTTGCTGAGGTTAGATGCTGTGCTTGTTGAAGAGATTTTAGGAAAATCTGAGGCATGAGACGAGACAGGCCATTTTTATGGAGAATTCACTGGAAATAGCTTGTTGGCGCCGAAAGTAGGTGGAGCAGGGCCTCAAGGAATCTCCAGAGTGGGGCAAACACTATGAGCTAAGTTGATGGAGTCTCAGATACGGTACCTGCCTGCAGGCTGTTTGGGGTGAGGGCTCATCAAAGGAACAGTAGCCTCTACCAGCACTTCTGTCTGGGAGAAAACTGCCTCCCCAGTTCTCGCCCGATGCTGGACAGTTCAGTTCTTCCCCATATGTCTCGGGTGCCTTTGCAGCTGCTGCCTCTGCACTGGAGTTCTGAGGGAGTGAATCTGAGTAAGTCTATGCATGGGCCCTTTAAAAAGAACTGCCTGGGACTCCAGAAGCCTTCCTCTCCCTCAGCCTCAGTTGCTGCTTGTCTTTACAGCGAGGGGGCTTCTTTTTCTGGTGCTGGAATGCAGGGCTGGGGGGCCTGATGTGGGGCTGAGACCCCTCACTTCTCAGAGGGAACCTTCGCAGCTAAGATATCCCTCCCAATTTTTTCCCCCAGCACTCGTAGGTGTGGGACCAGCCGATTGCACATCTCCGCCCCTTCTACCAGTCTCCGTGTGGCTTCTTTAATTCTCTAGTTGTAGGACTTCCATTCAGCCAGATTTCAGGTGGTTCTGAATGATTACTGTTCTATTGTTTAGTTGTAATTTTGATGTGGTTGTGGGAGGAGGCAAGTACCATGTTCACCTATACTGACTTCGTGACCAGAAATCTTTATTGCTTTCTTAGAGGAGAAACCTCCAGACTTCTTGTGTTATAACCAGTTTCCTAGAATAAAGTAAAAGAAAGGAAGCTGAGCTTGCCAGTGTGTTCAGTGACCATCACTGCTTTGTGGTCCCCTGGGCTGCACATCTAAGGAACAGTATGAAAAAGCCTGTGTGCTTCTTATGTCTACTTTTGATCTCTTCAGAATTACTGCACAAGCCTAAAGAAGTACAGAGCATGAATATTAAGTTGTAGGGGAAGAAGTTTTTGCATGATTACTTGTCAGTTACTGGAGTTAAAGCTCTTTATAAACTGTTCCTTTGATAGCAGCCTTATCTGACCAAGTCATTTAGACACAGGCACAGCCGGTGAATATTGTTCTCATCTCAGGCATATTATCTTCAGCCCGTGGTAGATGGTAGAGAATCATCTTAATATTATGTTAGTTCTTTTTTCCTCACAAATTTTCAACAGATGACTATTTCCCTAAAATAATTATTGTACTTTACAAGGAAATAACTGTGGTTTCTGGATTTAATAGTCCCATTGTGCCTTCCTAAGTGAAAATAACTGCTTTTGTTGCCGAGGCCTTACAGCCCCGTGATACAGACCTCTCTCGGACTGCTCCCACTCCCAGTATTGCAAGTTAGGGTTCTAGAAACCATGGCTTTCGTGCCACTTTTTCAAACTCAGTACTTATAAGTCTGTGAGGTAGGAGTTCATCAGTTTATCAAACATTAATTAAAAGTACCTGTCATATATCAGATACGTTTCTAAGTGAAGAAGATGATCTTTACCCTCAAGAAGTTTGCAGGGAGGCAGATTAGTAAGCAAATACAATTGCAGTGCAGTGAAGTAAGTATCAGAGCTCTAAGAGTTGGGCTGGTGTCAGGATAAATTTGGGGGTAACTTGAGGAAGGGCTCACGAAGGTGGAGATTCTTTGGCTTGGCATTCAAGGGTGAAGAGAGCCAGGACCGGAAGTGCTGGCCTGCCAGGGTGGAGGCCCGGTGTGTGCAGTGGCACGGAGCTATAAAGTTTCATGGCAAGGGCGGACGTGGGCACTCCAGTTGAGATGTGTAGAGAGTCTGTTGGAGGGGAAGGAGGAGAGGAAGCCAGGGTCTAGACAAGGGATTATTTTGTATTCCATGAGAAAAGTTTTATCTTGTATCCTGTAAGTGGTGCGGAGCCACTGAAATGTAATGAAGGAGGTGGCATAATCAGGTTCCCAGTTTTGAATCACTCCAACAGATAAGACCATTGTTACCCTTGTTACTAATATTCCCTTTGTCATCCTCAGGCTTTATCCCAGTCCAGGTATTTAATGAAGCATGGTAGGGAAAGGCAATTAAATGCCCACTAAGACTTTTTTTAATAGGGATGAACTTTTCTGAATCTTGGGGTGATAAAAAATTTATTGAAGTCATTGGAAGTGGCCTGTGGTCCAAGAAAGTATAGAGTTGTACTGACCTAAGCAAAAAGAGTAAGAAGACTTTGAATGTCAAGAGTTGTAGGGAGTTCTGATAATAATCTATAGCTCTCTAGGCATTTCTTAGTTGAAGAAAACCTTAAAGATCTAGTGACATTTAATGTCAGGTGGAGAAGGGAATGTAAAATCCCAAATCCTGGAATGGTAAAGCTATAACAGGCCTATGTGTGAGATACGTATAGTTTTATATCGTGTGAAGATTGGTGTTGGGAAGTTAGGGTGGAAATTGAATTCCCAATAGAGCAATGTAATTTATACCCTATATAGCTTCCTAGAATATGCATGTGAGCTTGGTGTTATCTTGGAGAGTTCTCAGAAGATGATTTGGTTCAGTAGTGGCTTTTGCTGAGTTCCCTGTTATCTGTACAGAGGGCCAGGCAGGTCTCATCCATTCAGCAAAAGTGCCAGTGAAAAACTGGATTAGTAGAGAGATTTTCAAACTCTGTCAGAAGACAGTATAACTATACATTTCTCAGCCTTTCCCCCTCAGTTATATTATAATCATCAAGGTCCCTTTGTTGTCATGTCATTTCACTTTTAGAAATGGCCCAGTTACTCCTGGGGGCGAATTTCCCAGCACCAAAGACCAGCTCGTTTGCCTTTGCATGGTTCTCTCTATTTCTTAGGGAGGCATGTGCAGTAGTTTCATTCTTAGAATATGAGTATTTTTAGGAATATGTGAATGAGTAAACCCTAAAGACTATGTATTATGTTTCATGACTTAAAAGAATGAGGCTTCTCTAGTCAAGGGGCAATTTCTCCTCTGGGGGGAATTTCACCCCCTTCAGGGGCATTTGGCATAGATTTGATAGAGGCATTTTTGATTGTGAAGATTGGGAGGGGGGTGTGCTACTGGTTTCTAGTGGATTGAGGCCAGAGATACTGCTGAGCATCCTACAGTGCACGGAACAGCCCCAGCACAAAGAATTATCGACCACAGTGTCCATACTGCCAAGGTTGAACGACCTCGCAGTGGCTGTATGCTTCATTCTAAACTAATAAAATCACTTTTCTTTTCAGATTTTTGAAGCACGATGCTCTTCAGTGTCATATGAAATTATTCAAGATACAGATGAAGAGGTTAATGCTATACTTATTTATGTTGAATATTGTTAATGAAATTAAGTCAAACAGTTCCCATTTCAATAAAAATAATGACTTTAAAAACCTTGGTAATATGAAAATAACACCGATATCTCTACTTAAATCAATACTTAAGTTTTATTAGGTCATGAAAAACTATTTGGAAAAGTACTTACATTTACCTGATCACCTTTCTGCCTTTGTTTCTTATATGTTTTGATGAGCATGGAGCGCATGGCCCACAAGTTACATAAATTTTGATTTAATGTTGTCAGGCATTTGCACACTTGTGCCTGGACTTGCCAAAATGCAGCTTGATACTAATATGTTTTTTGGCCCATTTTTTTCTAATCAGCAATAAGATGAGAATATTATTCAATGAAGGCGAGAGAGAGAAAGAGAGAGAGAGAATGTGTGTGTGTGTGTGTGTGTGTTATATTTTTTTACCTGCTGCATCATTCATTTCCCAGCTAGAATCTCTTGATTGATCCTCATAGAATTATGGCATAGAATTTTATGTTCACTGGTCCTGAATTAAAATTAGACTTATAGAATACTTTGTATTTTTCTATTTTTCAGAAGACTTTAAAACCATATTGATTGTGACAGGTTTTTATTTGTGATAGTCAGTTGTATTTTTCTGTTTTGTGGGTATGTGCCCTTGATAGAAGAAAGATTTCTCACCTCTGCTTTAAAGCTAGATTTGGATTTGAGTTTTTGATGGTTCATAAACAACTTTAGAAATCTCAATAAGAACACTTATTATCCAGATAAAAATATATTTGGCTCCTAAACTACTGTGAAGTGAGGGTGGGGATGAGGATTAATTTAATTTGAAGGTCTATAACTGCACACTAGTCTCTGTGCGAGGAGCTTCACAGTATCTCATAATTTCATTTAATCCTCACAAAATACTGCTAGGAAAGCATGTCTAACATTTCTATTTTGTAGATGAACAAACTGAGACCCAGGGTAGTTAAATAATTTGCTTGGCTAAGGTTACTAAAGTAATAAGAGAAGAGCTTTAAAAACACTGTGTATGTTTATAAATCTGTATTCTTTTACCATGCTGCCAAAATATTTTTGTAAATATTTTTCTTTCCACAAACTGTTTCACTTAATTGCTTTCTTCTTATTAATCTTCAGACTAAAGAACTGAACAATATTTTACTGCGGGTCTTTTTCAATCTAGATGCAGATAGTGGAAGAGCTTCACGCTGCACGTGTGGGGAAAAGTGTGGACTTGCCTGTGGTTCCCCCTCCTGGAGAGCTGTCCAGTATGGAGATCGACTTGGTGGAAGACGATGTGCATTGCTCTGCTGGTATACTCTGTTTGCACATGACAATGTCTAGGGTGTCCTGTGCTTTCTTAAGAATGAATGTGTCAACATGCAGTGTTTATGATATTTAGAAGAAGGTTAAAATGTGCTCATTGGAAATAATAAAGTTTGGTGTATTTTAGCTATAGGAGTAGCTATATATTTGTCTTATCATCATTTGTTTTTATATATTACATTATTAGGCAGACATATTTTCTGTTTTTCTTTTTGCCAAGGGGCAGTAATCAGAGTTATGAGTTGTCTTTTGTTTCTGCTTTTAATCATCGCTTTTAACAATTTCAACTAACCAAACCACTGATCAGAAATAATGCAAATTGCTCAAAGGTATTATATGCCTGGATTTCTCATTTATATAAAAAAAATTTGATCATTCTTACTAATGGGAGAAGATAATGATAGATATTATCCAAAATCTGCTAGTATAGTATTTTGAATTGTATTTATAAGAATAGTAATGCTGCATTATATTCACACTGAATTTTTCAGTTTACTGTTTTCATGTGCATTAACCTGATTCTCGCAATGGTACCATAAAATAATGGTGCTAGTATTACCTGTTTTCTCTCTTTTACATATATTTTTCTTTTCAATCATATTTCACTCAGAGTATATTAAAATTAGCTTATAATTCCTAAGTGCACAACTACCAGTGAGGCAAGACAGTTTGGCAACATAGTTTACTGCTGGGAAAAGTCAGTTTATGATTTAAATCCATTGGTGAGCAATTCATAATATTCTGCTGGTGGGTAATTAATTATTACTGTTCTTTCACTTAGGAACAGGAGTAAATGCATTTTTGTTTTTGTTGTCTGAAGGACTCTCTTTTCTTAAGAGTGCTATTAAAGTTGTATCATGTCAAAATTTAGTTATGAAAGAAGTCTATTACTCAGTGTCATGAAATCTTAACTTTGCTCTTTTTCTTTAGCAAATACAGCTTCAGACAAACAACTTCTAATTGTTATTGATACAAATATTCTGATGAATCATCTCAAATTTGTTAGAATTTTGAAGACAACAGAAATCCCAGGTACTTATAAAATATGTTTGTATAATGGATTGAGAAAATAAAATAGCCTTCAGAGGTCAACCTAGCTATCTAAGCTGACCTTCTTTGATCTCCAATAATATTTATTGTTGTGACATTCTTGTGACACATCTGGTTTTAATTTTCATTTTGTATGTATTATCTCTTCCTTTAGATTTTGAATTACTTACTTTATAACTCAATTTTCCAACATCAGTTAGATTTAGTAGCTCTAGATATTTGTTAACTTCTGAGACATCTTATTTATTTTTTAGGCTTTGACAGGCTCGTGTTAATAATTCCCTGGGTTGTGGTACAAGAGCTAGATCGTATGAAGGCAGGAAAACTACTGAAATATGCCCAGCACAAAGCCGTACCTGCGGTCCGTTTTATCAATGACAGTCTCAGAGATCAAGATAAAAAACTATGGGGTCAGTCCATACAACTTGCATCTCAGAAACTTTGTAAGTATTGTTCTCCTGCTGTGCTTCCTGATTAAGATTTGTTTGGGTACTGACTCATTGGAGGGAAATGATAAAAAACTTATGGAAAATTTATAACCATTGAAATGTGAAATGGCAGGTCATAGTGATGGGTTGGGGTATTCTATAAGGCTTGGTTTGGGGGTTTTTGGTTTTTATTTTTATGTTTCTCCTAGACTTCACGTCTGTATTTCACAGATACTGACTATAGTTCTGTGTGCGTAGTTGTATATGATAACACTACATTGGATTCTTTTTCAAAATACCGCCATTGAGTGACGAGACCCATAAATGATCTAAGTTTCTAATCCATCACTACATGTAGTGACTGTAGTGCAGAGGCAGACATTGTTTTCCTCTAGTTTGTCAGATTCTGTAACAAGGAGGTGTTTTTATAATAAAGGTCTATAGATTTTCTCCTGATTTCATCTTTTTCCATATTAGTTTAATTCACTTTTTAAATCACTCTGGTCTTAGAACCTAAGTATGCTCTTTATGTGTTATATAACTTTCTTGGAAAAAAAAAAAACTGTGTGTCGAGCCACACTGTTGCCTCTGTGGAGTTTATATATCCATTTAGAGGATTTATTTAATTCCTTAAAACTTTGTTTCTCTCAATTCAGAATTATTTATATATGTAGATTTATGCTGTTTTAAATATCATGGATTTATGTTATCTGCAGTGCCCATATTCACTGTAAGATATGAAAGAATTCAGCCTCAGATGAATATAATTATGGTATTAGTGCTGAGAGGGATTTTGGCACAGCTGCTTAGTCTCACGCGTTTGAAGAAAAAGAGCTTCCATCATTCGTTCATTCCTTCTATTTTTAAATATTTAGTAGCTCTCAGTATACTCCAGTTATAATAGTTATGTATTCTGAGTAGGAACTTCATGCGATTTGTAGAGTTTTTAAAGGAAAACCACAAATATCACTTACTAGAGTTAAAAATATTAAATTGAACACCTTAGATGGTCTTTTTTTATTATGTAAAATATCAAATGCAGGGAGAGAGAGAATAATATAATGAATCCCTTTGTACTTATCACTCATTTTCAGTCATTACTAACATTTGCCATTCTTGTTTATTCTCTCATCTCTTTTTTATTCTCCCCCAACTCCTGGAACGTCTGCAGTAGTTTGAAGTAAATTCCAAATATCACATCGTATCATTTTTATCTATATATACTTCAGTATGTGCTGCTAACAGATAAGATATTTTTTTAAACAACTACGTAATTAACGAAATTAACCCCTAATTCAAGCCATTATTTCAGTAAAGCCCTAGTCCTTAAAAAGTGGCAGAAATTTTGCTTGTTTTTCATCCTTTTTTCAGTTTGTTGATACAAATTATATTTTATTACATAATAATATAGATAATTATAATAATAATACATACACTTTTATGGCCATTATTCTCCATACCTTTTTCCAAATGCTTTACGGCTGATATCTCATTCAGACCTACAGTCCTGTGGGAACACATTTTCATCAGCCTCATCTTACTGGCGAGAAAATGGAGACACAGAGAGATGAAGCATTTGTCCTAGATAGACGTTCCTTCAATAGATTAGCTTTGAAAATTGCATTAAAGTGTTTATTTTAGAATAGTTATTTTGGCCACATTTTTTATTTTTATTTACTTTTATTTTTTAAAGTTGATTTGAGAGAGGGAGAGAGAGGGAAACATTGATTTGTTGTTCTACTTATTTATGCATTCATGGGTTGAAATTTGTATGTGCCCTGACTGGGAATTGAACCTGCAACCTTGGCACATTGGGACAATGCTCCAACCAGCTGAGCTACCTGGCCAGGGCACATTTCTTATTTTTAGATGCTTATTGTGTTCCATTGATTTTTCTATTTTCATGTGCTTTTTTGCTGCTTTGACTTCTTTAGTGTATGTTTTTTGATGATTAAGGAGGATAAATCACAGTAGTTGTCTCAGATTTCTGTGTTGTTTCAATTTCTCTGTGTCTTCCTGGAAATCTGTGTTTCACTTTAATGTTTAAATCTTACTGTTTGATTTTATTTTTGTTAAATCACTGAAACTGCTTTTAGTTATAAGGTTATAGGTACAATGATAGAGTATTTGTGTAATTCTCTATGTCAGATAATATATAAAGTACTTAATAGTTGATGGCTTGAAATAGGTTATAATTCTCATGTCTTTGTTATGTGAAAAGCTTATACAGGTTGATTAGAAAAACTAAATATCCCTTTCCCCTAAATGGATGAAGATTATTATTAATAGGAAATTCACAAGAGGAAGAAATACAGCTAGCTAGTCAGTCCTTTGGTCACTGCATATAGTTTCCTGTCTGATGACCAATTTTAATGATGTTAATTTCTTATGTATAACAATTTTTAGATTTATCTTTCACTTTTTTCTTTATTTCTTTTTATTGCCTCTAAATTTAAAAAGTTACTTTTTCTCAACATCTGCGAGAAACACTTTACATTGCTCTAGTGCTTTGGGAATATAAGTTAGTAACTTTTTAGGAGAACAGCTTATCAGTGTGTATCAAGAAGCCTAAAGATATCATTCTCTTTCTAGAAATACACCTAAAAGAAATAATCACAGATGCTTACAGTGGTTTGTATAAAAATGTTCATCACAGCATCATTTATACACCAAAAAATTTGAAACTTCACTAAGAGGTTACATGTAATTCTATAGACATATGAGAGCTTACTATATTTTGAAAAATGTTAATGACATGTAATGTTAAAAAAATTTGTTGAATAAATATTTCATGAATATTCTTGTAGTTTTAAGTGTGTTTTTCAGTCCTGTGTATCCTACAAAAAGTAATCCAACATATTTTTGAACTCTGATACCTTTAGAGCAGTGCACTATAACTTTTAAACCTCCTCTTGTCTGCTGAATTGAGTTGTTTAAAGTTAACTCATGATTTTGAGCTTTCTACTTTGCATTATTGTGGTATTTACTCTGTGAGCTAAAATAAGGAAAATTGTTTGCAATAATATATGTCTGTTTGGTTGGTTCACTGGTTGTCTGGTGAAAGAATTGAATTAAATACCTTCCAGGCTCATGCTCTGAGATCAACTTCGTTCTGTCCAGACTTCACGATGAGATTGTGAGCTCCTAAAGAGTTTGTTTTTACATCTCCAATTATGTAGCACAGTGACCTGGCACAGATTCAGTCCTGTAAAAGTATTCATTGTAGGAATGAGTGAGTTTTCTAATTCGAATGTTTAGAGGATTAAGTAATACAGGCTAAAATTTGAAGGAAAAAAAAGTTATAATCTAGGAATATTGCTCATTGGCCATTATGTTTTGAATTGTCGTGTGTAAGGGATTCCCCAAGGGCTGAAATCAGTCTTTGGGTCCAGGGTCCAAAGATTGTTATCCAGAGGTGGGTCTGGGAGTGTGGTCCTGCAATCTGTATTATTAACAAGCACCCTGGGAGTTCTGAGGAAGGTAGTGTAAGGTCCCAGGAGAAACACTGTCTTTGGTCCTGTTTCTGCACAGTGCATTATTTGCACAAAAACCAAACTTTTGCCACCCGCTTTAAAGCTTGGAGAATGCTAGAGGACAACCTGTCAGCCACTGATTAACATTTGTTAGAGGTTATTTTTTGTGTTCTCTGCCTAGGGCCCATAATGCCTTTTCCTGTCCTACTGCGTTAGAGAGTAAGGAAAAGCAGACACTTGAGAGTGGTTCTCTTGCTGGTGGAAGAGTTACTCATGATCTCTACAGATCTCTTTCAAGTTGAGATCATTTTAAGCACGTCGTAATCATAATTTACTAATAATCACTAAGTGACTGAATTGAGATTAGAATTCATAGCTTTTGGTTTCTACTCTGACATTTGACCTACTGATCACATTTATTGAGGGCCCCCCCGCCCCATGTCTCCCTATTCACAATACAGACCAGGCAAAGGGCCTGGGCTGAGGTGTACATGGGGTGGGTTTACTCTGCCTCCTCTTTCTGTATAGGCAGTATAAGAACACAGCCTGTGGTAAGCACCAGGAGGCCTGAGTTTATTGATGGACATAACCTATCCATGTTAGTAGAAGACTAATCAGTTTTTCATACTCACAACTATATGCTACCTGAGTTCTATTCCAAAATTTCCAGGGTGTTGTTTTACTGTGTCTTATGTTCCTCTTCTTATTTAAAAAGGTTTTTCGTTTGCTTGTTTTAGATGTTTTTTGTATGTAAGTACAGCCTAGATTATTCATATGGTACTCAGATTTCTAGTGCACTTATTGATAATTGCTTTTTCTAACTTTGCAGATGGATTGAGTGATGAGAACAATGATGATCGAGTATTAAAATGCTGTCTTCAGTACCAGGAATTATTCCCTAGTTCTCTTGTTATTCTGTGCACGTGAGTTTCATGGTCATTTTATTTATTTATTTTTAAAATGGAAAATTATACCAAGGAATTTTTTTATATCTTCACCTGAGGATGTTTATTGATTTTAGAGAAGAAGGAGGGGCATAGAGAGAGAAAGAGACATTGAGATACTGAGACATCGAGGCATCGATGTCTGTGGGATGATAGACACTAACTGAGCCACTTGGTCAGGGCACCAAAGAATTTTTAAAAATTATACTTTATCTACCATACCAAGGGTCAAAAACATGTATACAGTACTTTGTAAATCTGCCAGTGAACATGTTCACTCATATCTCATATTTTTTTCTTAAATGTTAATGGTTTATTTGAGCCAAACTGATGACATAGGCAAAGGACCAAGATCTGAAATGCTCTCCTACTTTTTTTTTTTTCTTTTTGAGGTCTAATTGGCAGAGCATATTAGTTTCTGGTGTACAACATAATGATCTGACTTTTTTTGTATTATATGATTACTCAATTAAGTCTAGTTAATACATCCATCACCATACATAGTTACAAAAAATATTTTTTCTTGTGATGAGGACTTTTGAGACCTAGTTTCTTCACAATTTTCAACTATGCAATAGAGTACTATTAACTACATTCACCATGCTACACTATCTCCCTTCTTATGTGTAAGCTATGGAAGAACAAGATTTGAATCTCAAGTAGATAGTTTCATTTCAGTTTCATTTATGTAATATTCAGAAAACTTTTGAAAATCAAGGCAATATAAGTTTACTATCCCAATGAAATAGTTGAGAAATAAAAATCTGACATTTTTGGTTATGAGGCAAGAAGGTTAATTAGTATCTGGGCAAGGGGCCATTTATGCTATAATGTGTCCTTGGAGCTGGATTGGAGTCCTGTATCTACCACTTACCAGCTTTGTGACTTTGGAAAGTTGCTTAACTGAGTTTCCTCGTGTGTAAAATAAAGAGAATAATAACACCTGTCTCATGGGGTTATTGTATGTAATCAGATACTATATATGAAGGAATTAGTGCCTTGTACACAGTATGATCTCAGAGTTTTTTCCTCCTCCCTTCCTCTTCCTTCCTTTCCTCCATTTCCAACTAATATTTTCATAGCTTAGTTCTAAGGTGAGACTGCCATAATGCTGACCAAGACAGCGTTCATCATGTATGAGAAAAGGCTCTGGGAAGCATCTCTCTCCGTCTGTAAGATTTTGCTTCTAGGCGATCCTCTGTTTGGCTCAAATAAACTTTTATAAAAATTTTAAAAAGGGAGAAAAAAGGCTCTAAAGGAAGAGCACTTTTAGTCTGAATTTTAATCACTGCAAAATAGAGTTTTCACAATTTCATGATCATGCCTAAATTCTCTGTGAAATGGAGCTATTGTGGAAATGAGTGGCCCTAAGATTTTTTCTTGTTAAGGGGGCTTGGTCAATGATCATTTCACCTGTCTTCAAAGATAATGTTATTCTTTTCAGTGTTAAAGGAAATATTGGAGATTTCTATCTCTAGGTTTAATTTTTTTTAAAAATCTAGAACATAGCATATCAAAGATTGTTGAAGGCTGAAATAGAATTAGTAATATGCTATCATTTTAAATTTTAGATCAGTTAAATATGAGGCATAATTCTTGTATAATTGTTTTTAGTGCAGCTCTGAATGAAACTTAAACTGGTCAGACTTAATCAATTCTTTATTATTTCTGCCATCACTCTTTTGTGATTAATAGATGTGACTTTTTTGGTGAAATGAAAATTTGTAGTCAAATCTTATTTTTCTCACATTATCATTTTCTAGATGAGTCTGTTTTTTTATTTTTATTTTTCCCTTAATAAAAGGTAGTAAGCCTGCCTGCTGTGTGAGTCACTTATTTATTGTAAGGGTACATTGACATTACCTAAATGAATGATGATTAAAGTATTAATTGACAATGATAGTAATAGGAGAACCTTCTATAACACTATACACTATACCATTTTAAGTGCTTTGCTTACATTAATAATTCCAAGTATGGTCCAGCAACCCACAGTTGATGTCCTAGTCCGTATCTCTCTTCTGAATCCTAGACTGGTTTGCTCATCTACTTATTTGATATCTCTACTTGGTTGTCTCATAGACATCTGAAAAGTACCATTTTCAAAAACAAACTCCTGATCTTTCTTTCTAAACTATTCTCCATCTGATCAAAAGGCTCTACCTTCTATTCATTTGCTTTGAAAGCCAGACACCTAGAGATCATTTTGGTACTTGCCTTTCATTTTCCTCATAATCTATGTCTAGTTAATTAGTAGGTCCTGGATGGGCTTCTTTTCTTTATCATTCTTGCCACAATTCCATGTCAAGCCATGTTTTTTTTTTCTCTTTTCTTCCTTTTCTATTCTAAGACTACTTATTCTCCTTCCACACTTGTTGTCCTTCATTAATTCTTCAAAAAGTTACAATGTCTTTATTTTTAATTTTTAAAACATTTCATTATTGAGAATTCCAACAATATTCAAAGCGAAGAAGAGTTTGTAAAAACTCCTAAGTACCCAGCTATAGCAATTATCAAAATTTGTGTTGTCTGTCTATACCTCCATCCATTCTCTGCCCTCTTATATGATTATTTTATATAGTTCTTTGTATTTTGAGGGAAAATGTACATACATGAAGTGCACACATTTTAACTATAGCGTGGACACCGGATGCACTAGTGTAGCACACATCACTCTACATAAAGAACACCTTCTGTTCTATTAACCTTCCAAAAGAGAGTACTTTTGCTTTTTTTCTAGTTTCTTAAGGTGGAAGCTTGGATCATTTATTTGAGACTGCTGTACATTTTTCTTTAAACACTGTGTTAATTGCATCCCACACATTTTGATAATGTTGTATTTTTATTTTCATTTGGTTAAATATCATCTTCCTTACGATCTCCTCTTTGATCCATAGCTTATTGTTTCTTAATTCTAAGTATTTACACATTTTCCAGTTATCTTTTTGTTATTGATTTGTCAAGTTTAATTCTGTTATGACTTGAGAACATACTTTATGTTATTTCTGTTCTTTTATATTTGTTAAAGTTTGTTTTATGGTCCACCTCGGTGAATTTATATGCACTTAAAAATATATATTCTGCCTGCTGGTGAGGCTCAGTGGATTTAGCGCCAGACTGTGAACCAAAAAGTCACCAGTTCGATTCCTAGTCAGGGCACATGGCTGGGTTTCAGACCAGGTCCCTGGTTGGGGGCATGTGAGAGGCAACCAATCAAGGTTTTTCTTGTACATTCTCTCCCTCTCTTTTACCATCCTTTTTCCTCTGACTAAAACTAAATAAATAAAATCTTTAAAAAATGTATATTCTGTTTTTGTGGGTGCAATATTCTATGCATTTCAATTAGGTCAAGTCAGTTGGTAGTGTTGTTCCAGTCTTCTATAAAACCACACCGATTACCTGTCTACTGTCCTATGATAGCCGGGAGAGGAGTATGGAGATGTCCAGTTGTGACTGTGGGTTTGTCCATTTTCTTCAGTTCTGTTTCCCTTTGTGTAGTACGCGAAGCTCTATGACATGAGGCATACACATTTAGGATCATTTAAATCATGTAATGTCTCTCTTCTTCCTTGATAATATTTCTGGTTCTGAAGTCTCCTTTGTTAAACATTAATATTATTTCTCCAGTTTTGTTTTGGGCAGTATTTATATGCTATATCTTTTTCCATCCATTTACTTTTAACCAACCTGTGTCTTCATATTAAAGTGTTTTGTGGACAACATATAGTTGGCATTTTCTTTTTTGTCCATTCTGACAATTTCTGTCTTAATTAATAAACTTATACCATTCATATTTAATTGGTAGGATTAGAATCTACAATTTTGCTAATTATTTTCTCTTTGTTTCATCTGTTTTTCTTTCTTTTCCTTCATTACTTGTAAACTTTTTAAGGTACCATTCTATCTCCATTATTGCCTTATTTATATCTTCTTGAAAAATGCTTTTTTGTTACCCTAGTGTTTATAATATACATTTTTACTTGATTAAAGTCTACCTTCAAATAATATTACATTTATTTAGATGTAGCATAAGGATCTGACAATAGTATATTCCCAGTTTCTTCCTCCTATTCTTTGTGCTGTTGTCATAGATTTTACCTTTATATAGATGATAAACACATAATACTTTGCAATTTTTTTGCTTTACTCATTTACTGTTTAGAGAAATAAAAATGAGAAAAAAGAATATTTTAATCTTGCATTCCATTTTGAGCATTCTTCATTTCTTTTAATAGATTCAAGTTTCTGTTTGATGTCCTATTCCTTCTGTCTAAACAACTTTCTTAGATGTGTAAGTCTCTTGGCAGTGAATTTTTGAGTTTTGTCGTATAATGTTTTTATTTCTTAATTATTTTTGAATGACCTTTTCCTGGTGTTTTAAAGATGTTGCTCCATTTTTTTCTAGCTTATATGGTTTCTGATGAGCAGTCTGCTGCAAATGTTGTCTTTGTTCCTCTGTGTGTAATGTGTCTTTTTTCCTATCATGGCTTTCAAGATTTGTCTTTTACTTTTTTAGCAGTTTGTTTTAGCAGTTTTTAGCAAACATGCCCAGATGTTTGGGCATGGGGGATGTTGGAGGTGACTGGGGAGAGCAAATATGCCGCTTGATGTTCTCTGAGCTTCCTAGATACATGGTTTGGTGTCTGTCTTTGGTTTTGGAAAAAATTCTCAGTCATTATTTCTTCTGTTCCCTCTTTTTTCCTTCTGGTATTACAGAATTACATTGTAGTAGCCAGCGTCCTTGATGACCACAATGATTCCTGCCTTTCCGATAGTAATGCCCTTGTGTAGTGCCCTCCTGTACTGTACCAGGATTGGCTGTCTGTGTGAAACATAGCATTCATCAGAAGTTACGGTACAGTATGTCATGTCTGAGATTAGGTTATAAAAGCAGGAACTTTTGGGGCACTCTCTTGCTTCCTCCTGTCTCTTGGATCATTTACTATAGGGAGCAAACTGCCATGTTCTGAGTAGCCCAGTGGAGAGGCACACATGGTGAGAAAATACAGCCTCCAACCAAGAACCAGCAAGGGGTGTTCCAACAACCACATACACAAGTGCCAGTTAAACTTTGAGTGGCTACATGCTTCAGCCTTGTAAGAGACCCCGAGCCAGAACCATCCAGTCCAGCTGCTCTCAGATTCAGGAATGGTGTAAGATAATAAATGTTTGTTTATTTTAAGATGCTGAATTTTGGTATAAATTGTTACATAGCAATAGATGACTAATAGATGTGTGTATGTTAGTTTGACTGTTTGCTATTGCTCCATAGTTCCTTAGGTATTTTTTTAACTTTTTATTCTCTTTTTGTTTCAATTTGAGTAATTTCTTTTGACCAGTCTTCAAGTTTGTTTGTTTTTTTTTTTTCATTTCTTTTCTCACTCCATTTGATTCTTAAGATTTTCATCTGTGCTGAAACTGCCCAGATTTTGCATACTATATACCTTTTCCATTAGAGCCTTTAACATATTAATCAAAATTTAAATTCTCTCTCAGATGGCTTCAACCTCTGTGTCAGAGCTGAGCTTGGTTCTGTTGATTGCTTTGTCTCTTGCCAGCTTATTGTTTTTTTCCAGGCAGAATTTATGTGCAGATTTTATGGCTTCTCTGCTCCGTGCTTTTTTCCCTTCTTCATTTCCCCTTTAACTTTCTGTCTGCTCTGGCCAGTCCTGAACATTGTCTTCTGACATTTCAAGCTGTTAAGCCTGTGGCTTTCTGTGTAAGACATTGATGAATTGAGGAATACCCTCAGGCAAAAAGATAAAAACTTGCATCTTTTACCAGTGCAGTTTTTTGTCCCTCCAGTGCCTTTAAATGTTTTGCTTTTTTGGTCAGGGAGGGGTTCAGATCTTTTTAATTCTCATCTGTTGGAAGGTTAGTTTGGCCAAGCTACTGGGGCATTAGCAAAAACTAGAAACCTGCTGAACTCCAGAATGATTTAGTAAACATAGATCTGGTCATGTCGCTTCCCCATTGAAGCCCTTAAAACCCTTTGTGTTTATTAATGCCCTTGCCTTTTTCTGCAGGCACATTAACCAGTCTCATGTACAGGGTCTGACACAAATAACACCCCTTTTTTATTAGACAGTCTTTTATACAAAATCATAAGCATGTAATTCTGTAACATAACAATATCACACTCAAGCACACCATGTGACATTTTTGGTGAAATGTTCAAATTAAAACTATAAATTTATTATACCCATATTATTACCCCACCAACCACACTCAAGCCAGACCCTGCACTATGATCTAATTATACTGACTTCTTTCAGTAAATAGCAAATTCATACCATTTGTCTTATGCTCACTTTAAGAAAATCATAATTGCCTGCCCTGTGTAAACTATGGCTCTCTCTGTTTATTTCTCTTTGGAGGATCATATTCCTGCATTCAAATCTCCTACTTACCAGGTGTAACTCTGGACAAGTTACTTATCTCCTTTACACACCTCTGTTTCTCATCTGTGAAGTAACGGATAACATTAGTTCCATTCTCACCTAAGAGGTTTGTTGTGAGAATTAAATGAAATGATATATGCATAAAATGCTTAAAACAGTGCCTGGTACCAGGGAAACACGCAATAGGTAATAATTATTAGTATTCTCTGCAGCTCATTTCATGTGACTATTGTGTGTTAACGCTTTTGTCTTCTCTATTTAAAACAGTTGTCCAATTTTGTTCATATATATGCTGAGAATTACAAACCTCTGATTAGATCCTGTATATTTTGAGTTGCCATGTGATTTATCTTACAAAAAAATAAAGTTGTTTTCCTCCTAAACCAACCTTAGGGATGATAGAAATTTAAGAAACAAAGGCCTAATAAGTGGTGTGAAGTCACTCAGTAAAGAAGAATTGAGTGCCGAGTTCTTAAGCTTGTCCCCGAGCACAGCTGTGTGTCATCAGTCTTGTGTACCTAAGCAACAGTTGAAAGCAGGTAGTATTTTTACTGTGAATAATTAGAAATGTATCAGATTTTATACACTAAGATTATTGATAGTAAATTGTAATTAATAGGAAATTCTTATCGTGTACATTTAAAATCACATTGTTTGGAATATTTGCTTACACATAAATGGTAAAAATAAATGAAAATTATAATGGTAATACAAGAGAAAGCATAATTAACAGTGTTGCCTTCTACATATACTTTTACAAAATAATTTGAATTTGTGTTGTTTACTCACATACAGTTTTACATATTTATAATCATTGTGTGCATGCTATTTTGTACCTTACAAAATATACCTTTTAAATTAATGGTGACTGTTGAATGTATTCATTTGAAGTAGAGAGAAATTTTTAGTTTCTTTTTCAAGTTATCTTCATATTCATAACCTTCTATTAATACTGTAAAAACTCAATAGAAAAACTTGAGAGACTTCAGTACTAGTTCTTTTTAAATTTTAAATTGTTAAAAAAAGCGAAAGGCTTATTTTCACCAGAATAATCCTTTTTTCCTCAGAATAATCTGTTCTATAACAGAGCTTGACCTTTGATGGAAATGTTATATTAAGTCTGACATAATTTAAAGAACACATACCACCTTTTCCCTCTGTGGAGAAAATAATTATTAAAGTCTCTAATATTGTATGTGCTTTTATGCATAATTGTATAAAAATTCATGTGTACACTTGCTACTTACTTATTTGACCTTTAAAGTGATAAATTTCTTTAGTCCTAATATTCAAAAGGGCATTTAGAAGGAGCAACAGGATATTCTAGTTTACTGTTTTTCAGGGGTAACATGATTTTAGTTTGCTTAAAATAAGTTACTGTCATTTTAAATCCTTAATAGAGATAAACCAGTTAATATTTTGAGTTTTACCATGAAGAAATTGTAGTTGTTTTTAGTTATCAAAATAATAATGTTAATGAAATGATATCAATTAAAACAATAACTCTTTTTAGAAGGGTTGGGCATAAAGGTAGTTAAGTCAGAGATTTTGGACCTTTCAAAACAATTTATTGATGTGAGCTTCATTTGGAAGAATATACTATTAATACTCTTTGGCAGAATACACAGTTTGATCCATAGTTCTTAATTTTCTGTTTTGCATAGATTGAAGCATCCTCATGATTTTTCTCCTTTTTGAAAATAATAAAATTAAAATTGTAGTTAAGGTATCATGCATATTTCTTAAATTTTTATTCTAGTGAAGCTATTTAGTTGCCTTTGTCAAAAACATAAAGCATTTGTTAATGTAATATGTTTATGTTGCATCTAAAACAACTATACTAGAGATACATGTTTCTAAATACTGTTTTTAAAATAAAGTATTGGTTTGTTTTTTAGGTAATTCAAATACCAATTATAAACATAAAATGTTTATTGTTTATGGCCAAATACTAATTACATATGTAAAATATTTACTACTAGTGTCCTAAATAAAGCTTATAATTGTTTTAAAGAAGCAACACCTTTGGGAGAGAGTAATCAGGAAAAATCTACAAATTCGGGACTACTCATTCTACTTGAAAGCATAGTATCTGATCTTGAAAAATCTCTTGGAACAGCTTTATCTTCAATATTAGAAACAGAAATGAAAATCGCTTTTGGAAACCTCTGGATGGAGGTGAGTATTTCAACTCTACTAGTTGAAGAGTTCTTTTTTATTGCTAAAGATTGGTTGCCTTATTTTAAGAAATATTATGTGTAAGCTTTATTATAGTAATCTATATCACATTATATTTGTGTCTTGTAGTTTTTGAAATAATATTTTGAAAATTAAATGATGGACATCTCCCAAAGATGAGGACTATGTTTTATTAGTCGTTTTTACAGTGAGCAGATATTTATTGTGCGTCTGCTGTGTGTCACGGTTTGCCCTCATGAGGCTTAAGTTGAATTCAGAGAAACTCTCATACTTAGTTGGAGTCCTAATGTCTAGTATAGGGAATTCCCCTTAAAAGATGTGTTCAGAAAAAGAAAGATATATTTTGGCTTATGTCATATAAATACGAGAATCAGTATAAGTTTGATCATATTAGCAAGATAGTTTGTATTTTCTTTAGATTCGTGACTTTTCTACAATCAGTAAAACACCACATTTGTCAGCGGTGGCCTTTTTAGTTCAATGTTTGTTTGCTCTTCACGCTTATAGCTAGGAGAAACATTAATCCCCATTAATTGTAGATTGTCTTGATTCCAGATATTCAGTGACATACTAATATTTGCCTAAAGTGTGTTTGCTCTTGATTGTATATATCAAGATGAGGAAGAATGATCAGAAGTTTCTAGGGGGGTTGATGTAAATTGGTATTTCGTGAGTCTAAGACAGTAATTTTTTGTGAATGTTCAAAAAAGGACATGCTGACATTTGGTAGTACTAAATGATCGAACTTCTTTGTAAACATGTCTTTGTAATAGAGAGTATAGCAAGTGTTAATTATAATTGACAACTTTTTTCTATATCGACTTTTCCACCAGTTAAAAGAAATTAGATTGATTTTTCTTGCAGAAATGACCATGTTGAAAAGTAGACTGATGATATTTGCTAATTAAAATTGCTTCTTCTGATTAGAACTGTGTATTCTTTCTGTACTTGTAGTTTCTGAAACTATAAGGATTAATACTAATGTCAGTTTTACAAAGGAATTTGCAATGGAAGCATTTTAAGATTATGATTAACTTTTAATAAAGTGAATTCAAATAACTATATTTTTCTCAGAAATATATGTAAGCATTCCTAAATAGGTACAGTTGACCCTTGAACAACTTGGGAGTTTGGGGTTCTGACCACCATGCAGCTGAAAATCCACATATAACTTCCCCGAAAACTTAACTATTAATAGCCTACTGTTGATCAAAAGCCTTACTGACAAAATAAAGTCAGTTAACATGAATTTGTATGTTTTATGTATTGTATACTATGTTCTTACAATAGACTAAGTTAGAAAAAAGAAAATGTTATTAAGAAAATCATAAAGAAAAGAAAATACATTTACAGAACCATATGTATGTATTGAAAAACTCCACATTTAACTGGCCTGCATAGTTCTAACCCATGTTGTTCAAGGGAAAACTGTACTTTAAAAAAAAAAAATAGGATTAATAAATCAGTAGATAATAATTTTTTCTAAATACTTTTTAGATGCTGTACTTGAAACCACCATGGACTCTAATGCATTTAATACAGTGCTTTAAAAAACATTGGTTGGCTGTATTTGGATTAATTATGGAAAAGAACTTGCTTTTAACTGTTGAGAGCTTATATGAAAATCTCTGTAAAGGTATGAATCTTTCATTTTGTTTTAGCTGTGTTTTATTAAAGTAAGACTAGCAGATATAGTCCATGGAATGTGAAGATAAATTAATAAAAAGTTATCAGTTAGCTCTTTATCATTTGTACTTATCCCTTCCAAAGGGAATTTGTGGCAGGTGGATAAATAGATGTAGCTCACAGAGCTTATGACTGTTAATAGTGTCATTGTTGGCGTTCCTTCCTTCATATTGTGAATATGTAATTTTAGTAATGTTTGGAAACTTTTTAAACCACATTTTGTAGTTTATTCTAGTGCACAAATAGAATTATTTAGATTTTTTTTTTTCATTTCTAACTGTGTTCAACACAATTTTGACCATGTTTCATGTACTAATTTTAAGAATAATGTATCAGAGTTTCTATCTAAAACATGAATAAGGAATAGGAAATCTTTGGCTTTGGTGCATAGTGGATTTTGGAGCCAGAAGAGACTGTGGTCATTGACTCAGTGGGTGGTTTTTGAACTATGCTGTACAGAGCCTCGGGTTTTCTGCAGTGCCTCTGGAGCTGTCGGCAGTTGGAGGGGCGAAGGCCGATGGCAGTCTGGCAGGTGCTGGGCCTTGGGCCTTCAACCCCAGCTTCAGCCAAGCAGCCTTCTTTCCGCTGTCGGTGTATGGAGATTCCATGTAGGATCTGGAAAAAATGTTTCTCTGATGAGAAGAAACAGATGTGACCTAATGTTGTTAAAGTCCATGTTTCATGGTCAAAGAAGCTAGCCCTCTAGGGTCAGCGATTTATCCAAAATCAAGCAGCTGGCTTTGTCTTCCTAGCCCTCTAAAAAGCAAAGTAAAACCCCAGAGGATTTAAAATGCGTACCAGTGCCTTATGACTAATACAGGGTAGATGTTGCATGAATATCTGTTTTTCACAGTTTCCATTGTTAAAAGAAAGACACTTTCCAGGCATTGTGTCTAGCTATAAATGTTATTTATTAGGGGTATTATTATATAAGAGACATAGAACAGCATTTTGGACATGGCTTCAAAGCAGTTTTACAAGATATATAGAAACATTTTTTCATAAATTTTACTAAGGGCATAATTTAGTTGGTTTTATCAGAAAGAGAAAGTCCATAAACTATGAATGATGTGGAACAAGATTTAATTTCAAAAAAGGGGGTATTGAGTTACCCACCATTCTCCATTTGTCTGTTTTTTCCAGGGGTAGGCAGCATTTTGCTCTTACGTGCAACTTAGAGGTAGTAGGCAGCAGCTCTGACTGGCAATAGAAGTGCAGAGATGGTGACTGTTTCTTCTGCTAAAAAACTGTTTTTGGAATCATTATGTGCATTATTTATTGATTCTTGGTGTAGAAGAATCTGATGGCTAATATTCCTGACTTGTGAAGAATAGTAAATAGAATCGTAAAAGTGCCTTCTGCTCTAAGATAATTTGAATTAGAAGAATAACAAATTATGATTTGGTTTAGTCTCTTTAATAGTATTCTTGCTGTTGAATTATATGTGTGTGTTTAACTGTAGCATACCAGACGGGAACCCTTAGATCAGTTCATAGAAAATTGTGGGGAAAATGACTAGTAGCCTTTTCTGGCTTTGTTTTCCATATTAACTTTAGCTTATGTAATTAATTGTTCTTATGTAAGCATTAGATTATTTCAGTCACATAGCTTTCTTTTTATGTTGTATCTAGGTTCTGAATTTATCACTGTTATTTGCCTTTTGCTCATAATCTTCATAAAGAATTTTTGCAAAACAAAATGAAGTGATTATTTCAAAGATATACACCCTAATGAACATAGACTTCAGTGGAGAAGCACCCTTAAGAAAACCTGTGCCCCATTTCTCCTCCTTAGGACATTTACTGAGTTCATCAAATTTCCACTCTGTCTTGTGTGTAGCATCTCTCTCATCTAATTTAAACTAGGCATTGACTTCAAAAGTAACTAAAAGTATCTTGTAAGGAAATATACTATTTGTTTGGTAAAAGTAAAGCTAGGAGCTCATCTGTAACCATCACATTAGATTAGAATTTCTGAATATTGTGTAATTATTAAAATTTATCTTTAATTTTCATTTGACCTTTCCATATTTCATAAGCAAATACTTGCTGTGTAAGTGATACAGGGGAATTCTTTATTTTTTACTTAACCCATAGTACTGGGGGAAAACCATGCTGCTGTTTTGGAATTTAACAGTCCCTGAAACTCAACCTGAAAATAAAATGCATTGTAGTATGGTTTATTCTGTAGGCCTTTGAAAATTGATAGTAGCATTTTATCCTAATAATGGGAAGACAATTTTTTTTACTTTGAGTTTTGATGACAGTAGAAAGTTATTTAACTTAATTATTCATAACTTTTAGAATCTTTGAAATTATTGTCACCACATCTCCTAATTGGTTTGAGAACTTAATGTAATTCTGGTTCCTTGAGGGAAAAGCATACCTTTAAATTATTACTTATAGATGAACTCACTTTGTTAATGTGCAGGAGGCAAAAAATTCTGCTAGCTTCTCTTGCCCCCAGCTTACTATTACCTAAATTCTTTATTTTTAGCTAAATGTGTTGTACACAGAGAGAAAATGGGTTATTTTCAATAAATGTAGTGTTACATTTCATTACATTACATTATATTTTAAGGTAAATCTGAATCACTGCATCCTGAGTTGATTATGAGAGGTGCCACATGTCACTTAGGCGATTACCTCCGAAATGTGACTCTCTGATGCCTCCACAGTAATCTGCTGTGAGACAGCCTCAGTTTGGAAAATCCGCGCTTTAACTCCTTTGGTGGATTATCTCTCTTTTCTGAAGAGTGTGTCTTTGAACTGACCATGTTGAGGGAACTCCTGGAATCTGAATACCACAGAATACCAGACTCAGCTCCAATAACTATGTCTGTAGCTAAGTCAGTTTAATTGTTGCTTTTTACACCAGAGAGGTAAATCAGGAGTGGCTTGTAGGTGTAAATGTATACTCTTCTTAAATCTCATAATTAATATTAGATTGGTATTCCAATGACAACCTCTAGTTGTATACTCATTCTTATGTAATTTTTTTCCTTCTTAATTTTCTGTTACCAGCTAACAGTGCAGTAGATTTTACAACAGTGAAATTCCTGCTCCAGGATTCTCAAAGCCTGTTACATGCCTTCAGTACTCGGTCAAATTATGATGGTGTTCTTCCACAGGCCTTTGCTCAAGTAAACACACTACTTCAAACCTTTGCAGAGGTAAGACGTCTTTGGGATGCCATTTAGATAGCTAATCACACACATTCTGAATGTAGTTAGCAGACAACGTATAGGTAAAGGATAATAGGTAAACTTATTTTAACGTACTAAAGGCATTAAGTAAAATATTAAGTGAATTGAATATTGAGTAACGGTTCTTATTACAAGTTATAAAACACATTCTCTTATGGAAGTGGTATCATAGCAGTTGTTGGGAATTTAATTATTTTATTTATGTATAGTAGACAGCTACACACTGTTGTTTGAATACTCATTTCCCAGGGCTGTAGACCAACGGACCACAACATGCATCAAAATTCTTTGGATTCTTTTTTTTAACATGCAGGTGCCCGGTCCCTCCCAGACCTTACTGAATCAGATTTCCGGGAGTGGTGTTCAGAAATGTTGTTCTTCTTTTGCTTTTTATTTTGAAATAATTTCAAACTTTAAAAACACCGTAAGAGTAATATATAGAATCCCCATATATATCTATATCCTTTACCCAGATCCCCCCAGTGTTAACATTTTATCACATTTGCTTTATTGTTTTCCCTGTGTTCCTGCCTGTTTCCATTTAGTTAACTTCCACATTTTTTTCTGAAGACTTCGAGAGTATGTTGCAGATGTGATCCCCCTTTACCCCCAAACACTAATAATGAATGTCAAATTTTTAGATCCTGTCATCAACTGGAAACATAGAGATGGGAAGTACAATGAAAATGTGATGTTAAAGCTTAGTGTCATTTATCAGATAATGGGCATACCACTGTGGTATATATGTATACATAATGGTGTGCCCATTATATACTGCCCACTGAGTGTTTAAAGATACTGAATTGTTATTTGTAAGTTATTCATTCCTGGGTCCTATTTTCCAGTTGCTACATTACCAAAAGATTCATGAAGGCGAGTTGTGAAGAATGTAGCATCCTCGGTGGTGCTTTTCCCTCAACATTTGGCGTTAGTTTGATTGCAAGTTCATTGTCTAAGTCAGCCAGGAATTGTGATTTAGCTTGGGCTTTTAAAATACACTTTTAATAGGAGTTATTTTGTTAAAGGCATCAGATTTGATGTATGACCTAAATACTCAGTCATGTCTCAGTAACGAGCAATAAAAAGAAATCGGTTACCCCCTGGGATAGAGTATCTAAATGTAATAACTGTAAAAAAAGTCCCCCTAATCTTAATTTACTAAATGTAGGAAATCAGGAACAGAGGAATATTTATTATTTGCTTTTGAAAAAGGCTCTGAGAAACCAAAATGGAAAGTTAACTAACAGTCATTTTCCACATTTTTATATAAACAGGGTGGGAACAGGAAAAGAATATGTACATTTATCTTTTATAAGCCTTCCAACCATCAAAAAACAATAGTAATAAGACTTGCTCTACCAGAATGATAGGATAACGAAAATCGGTCCTGTTGTTAAACTTCAGGCTTTTGTGCCTCGAGATTCCCATCCTGACAAGCTGTATTTTAACCTCTGCTTGTCTAACCTCTGTGAGCCTTAATTCCTTCTTTTGTAAAGAGAGTATAATAAAAATCTCTGCCTCAGAACGGACGTGAGAAGTAATAAATTAATGTTTGTAAATACTTAGTGCCTAGCACATAAGTGAAATGTGTGTGATAAAGAAATCCACTTGCCTAGTTGTAACACTGCTGTTGGAGAGCTGAGGACAAAGACCGTCATGTGTAACAAACACAGTAGACCGAAGAACAAAATGGGAACAGAAGCGTGGATGCATGAACAGGCTGATGGGGCTGGAGGGGAGCTGGGGGGCTGGTGAAAGATGGTGAAGCAGGGGGAGAGGGCATAACGGGACTAAATGGTAATGGGAAAAAGTACAATAAAAAAGAAATTCAGTAATTTAAAAAGATAAGAAAAACGGGGAAGGGGTTAACCAAAGAACATTTACGCATGACCCATGGACATGTCCCACCTCTAGGTCAATACCATATGTGTAGAAGAGTTCAAGCAGTGTTCTTAAATTGATACTAGCATATTAGCTAAGAAAGGTCACTGCAGTAAAATAGGTTGGAAATATGTTTGATATAAATAGAAAAGGAAAATTTATTTTTTTTAGCTCTGATACTTTCCTGGGAACATTCTGTATGTGATCAAGGACAGAATAGTCAGCACTTCCCAGAAAGCTAGAACATTTGAAAACACAATTGGCATTCTTTTTCTCTCACTTACTGGTGAAGGACCAGCTGCATTTTATCTAATACAGTACTTATTTCCCCAGGCCAAGGCAAAACTTAATCAGAATGCTTCAGAAAAGACAGCAGGTAAAAAACAAGAAGCTAATTCTCCAGTGAAGTCTAACAACCAAGAAATCACCATTTTCTCAGGTTCTCATCCACCCCAACCCAACAAGCATCAAGAAATCTGGTCTGTTTTAGAGAGCGTTTGGATTACAATATATGAGAACAGGTACTAAATTTCAGAGAATTTTTGAATTTTAGAGTTTTTCATCATTACTGTTATTCACTGAACAGTATGTTTGGGCTGTGAGTTTAATATACAAGCTTATCTTTTTTGAGGGTCTTTTGTCAGATTAGTATCTTAGAAACAGTGATGCTTAAATAGGGGTGTATATCTGAATTACCTGGAGAGTTTTAAAAATATATATGCCTGGGTTGTATCCGTAGAAATTCTGACTCAGTAGGGCTGAGGTGTGGCTGAGATAGTGCATCAAAATAAAATGAAAATCTCTCTCCAGGTGATTCAGCTGTGAAACCTTGATGAGAAGCATTGCCTACATATGTGGAACCAAAGACAGTTACCTAGGTTGGCTGGACAAATTAGCAGGACATCAGGCATTAATAACATTTAAAATAGTGTATGGAGACATCAGTCATAGGGAAAATCCGTGTAAGGTTTTTTAAAAGGGAGATACTTCACTTAAAAGGAAGAAACACTTCTATTACTTTCAGTAAAGTAATGGTAAAATGAAAAGGTAGAAACCATTTGAGAGTAGTTGTTTTAATAGGCTACTGCTAGAGTCACTTAAAAAAATAATTGAGCTTCCCCCCCACCACCACTGTAACTCTGCTGGGCCTGTAGGTCTGTGGCCAGCTGCAGACGTGGGTCTTTCATCCGCAGGATGGGGTCTGTAAAAGTTTTCAAAAACAAGGCCTACTTCAAGAGATACCAAGTGAAATTTAGAAGATGATGAGAGGATAAAACTGATTACTATGCCTGGAAACACTTGGTAATCCAGGATAAAAATAAGAACACACCCAAATACAGGATAGTTTGTGAAGCCAGCAGAGATGTCATTTGTCAGATTGCTTATGCCTGTGTAGAAGGAGATAACGATAGTTTGTGCAGCTTATGCTCATGAACTCCCGAAGTATGGTGTGAAGGTCGGCCAGACAAATTATGATGCAGCATCTTGCACTGACCTGCTGCTGGCCCGCAGCTTCTCAGTAGGTTGGGCGTGGGCAAGGTATATGAAGGCCCAGTGGAGGTGACTGGAGGTGAATACAGTGTGGAAAGCACTGACGAGCAACCTGGTGCCTTCACCTGCTATTTGGATACAGGGCTTGCCAGAACTGCTACTGGAAATAAAGTGCTTGGGGCTCTGAAGGGAGCTGTGGTCGGACGCTTGTCCATTCCTCACAGTACCAAACAGTTTCCTGGTTATGATTCAGAAAGAGAGGAACTCAATGCGGAAATGCTTCGGAAGCACATCATGGGTCAGGATGTGGCAGATTGTGTGCACTGCCTCATGGAAGAAGATGAAGATGCTTACAAGAAACACTTCTCTCAATACATACAGAACAGTGTAACTCCAGACTTGATGGAGGATATGTATAAGAAGGCTCATGCTGCTAAGCAAGAGAATCCAGTCTATGAGAAGAAGCCTAAGAAGTTAAAAAGAAGAGGTGGAATCGTCCCAAAATGTCTATTGTGCAGAAGAAAGATTGGGTAGCTCAGAAGAAAGCAAGCTTCTTCAGAGCTCAGGAACAGGCTGCTGAAAGCTAATAAACCTAACCGTAATTTTCTATGAAGATTTTTCAGATAAAAATAATAAACTTACTGAACAAGCAAAAAAAAAAATTGAAAGCCACTGATTTTAAACCAGGCCAACACTCCCTCCCATACTTTTCCAAAGGCCCATAATCTTTACATAATTAATTTGCCAGTCATACTATACACTTCATGGTATGATTTTGGTTAAAGGAACTGGTATGACTGTTGTTTTGGATTAAGATCGTCTCTGTTCTAGATGCTTGCTGTCCACATTGAGCAGCGAAGTAACCTTCGCAGTCCAGTTAGACCTCTGTTCTCAGTCATCTAGTAGAAAGCTAGATTTGCAGCCCGTTTTTAGTCCTTAACTATAATTAAAATTTTTTTTCAAAAAAATTTATAGTTTGTCATACTAAAGAAATATCCATACCTGACATGTAAGCTAAAGAAAATAATAATTCAAAATTTGTATTTTCACCTAAAGGAAAGGTTTTGTTTGTTGGTTTTGTCTCATTTAATGGATATTTAACATTTTGGCTTATCACATACTGTGGTTAGCAGAGAGTTATCATATATACCAGGCAGATGTTTTCACTTTTTAAAAAATAGATTAAAACCATATTAAGATGTTTTAATCTTCCTTTCATTTAGAAAACATTTGAGTACCTTCTGTGCCTTAGAGCTGACTTATATGTACATCAGTGTTGGATGTTGTAGAGTTCTGAATATTAGACTTTACATCACATAATAGTATTTCAGTAAGTGAAAAAATGCTGATAATGCTTTGTCAGTGTAAAGCTATTAGAGCCTCCTTCCGTGTTTCTCATGCCTGACTGTGTCCCTGAGTCACTGCAGAACTTCCCAGCTGTTTGTGCTCGACCCTGTCACGTAGAGGTGCTCGTCTGAGGTTCTGTTAGGTCCCGCGCACCGTTGCTCGCCTGAAACCACGAGAGCACTGGCACCCAGCAGTTAATGCTGCTTCTTGCCCTGTGTTCTCGTGACTCAGTAATCAGTTGTGAACTTACAGCACACCCACTGAGGATTCCGTGTCTTTTCTATTTATGAGGAATTTAGGTAAATGTCAGGTACTATTAATGATTAATACCTCATGGATATTAATAATGCTTATCTGTAGTTGCTGGACTATGGACATTGCATATTTCCTTCTTTGTACATTCTTGAATTTTTCATATTTTACATAATTACTAGGCATTTAAATGTATAAAATTTTAAAAGAAAAGCATTTTAAATAAGTATATGATTTTTATGTTTAAAATAATAAATGTACAAAACCAGTTGTATTTCTGTGTACCAGCAATGAATAATCCAAAAAGGAAATAAAGAAAATAATTCTACCTACATTATCATCGAAAAGAGTAAAATACTTAGGAATAAATTTAACCAAGAAGTGCAAGATATTTACTCTGAAAACTATAAAACATTTCTGAAAGAAATTAAAGAAGGTCTAAATAAATAGAAAAAATCTAGTGCTTATGAATTGAAGACTTAAGAAAGTTGGAGGGCTCACATTTCCGGATTTCAAAACTTCCTACAAAGCTACAGTATTCAAAACAGCATGCTGCTGGCATAAATCTAGGAAAATAAATCAGTGGAATAGATTGTAAGTACAGAAAAATGGACTGTGGTCAGTTGATTTCGACAAGGATACCAGAAACATTCACTAGGAAAAGAATGGCATCTTCAACAAACAGTGCTGGGACAACTCAGCAATTACATGCAAAAGAATGAAGTTGGCCCCTGACCTTATGCTACCCACAAAAATTAACTCAGAATGGATAGATGACCTAAGTGTAAGAGCGAAAACTATAAACTCGTAGAAGAAAACAATAAATAGACCAGCATTATAAGAGACCAGTTATAAATGTTATTACTTTATACATTAGAAGTGGAAACACTTGTATTATAGTAAGTATGCATGTGTACCGAAGAGTATCTTTTCTTTTTCTCTATTTCAGCACAGATGTGTTTCAGAGATTGGGCTCAAATTCAGCTCAGACCTCCTCAAAAATAGCATCATTTGAAGAAGCGTTTATCTACCTTCAAAAGTTAATGGTAGCTGTGAAGAATATTCTTGAAGGAATTCAGAGGTAAATATGAATTAATTTTAAAGTTTTTTTATTACTTTTCTCTTTCTTGTAGGCTTATCAGCTTTTTCAAAGTTGCTGGGCATCTTCCAGCAAGTTTTATGAACTAATGTAGTATTACATACAGATGGGGCAAAAGTAGGTTTGCAGTTGTGAGTACATGAAGCACAGAATTTATTTTCATATTGTTACTTATCAATTATTGTATTACTTCCCCATATGAACAACTGTAAATCTACTTGTGCCCCACCCTGTATATGTAACAACATACATATAATATATAAAACAGCATAGTCTTACGATGTATGGAGACATACACATATGTGATTATTTAAATATTTGCGAAGCATAAAGAAAGCACAATGCCCGAAAACTATAGCATGGACCAGGCACTGCTAGTGCATGAAGTCATGTGTTTTCTCTTGTAGCAGTGAAGGAAAATATTAAACTAAATCTTGCAATTTTTTTGGATATACCAAAATTGCTTGACCTGAATTAGTTTGCTGACAGAATATCATTCTTTATTTAAAAAAAAAACTGATTTAGGTATGTCCAAGTTTGAAGAACTCAGATTTTCAAAACAACAGTAGTTCTGGGGGTTTTTTTCCTCTTGAAGGGTTTTTGGAGTCTCTGCTTGTTAATGTGCAAAGCATTTGTACCTCTTTTTAGATCACAGTTGACTAATGCGTACAATAAAAAATTACCTAAGATTTTTGCACCCTTAAATTACTAATGAGTTAAATATGTGGCAAATCCCAGGATAAATTAAAAATCATCTCTAAGTGCAAATAATCCCCCCCTTTTTTAATTTAAAGCAATATTAAATTAGAGTAGCTCTATGAGGGAGAAGTATTCAATTCTGACTTCAGCTATGTAAAAAGTGTTGCACTTTCTAGGTCGCATAAAAGCCATGCTTGATACTCCCTTTTCTGTGGATAGTAGGGGTATCAATCTGTATTCAGTTATTCGACAAATTATTGAGCACCAGCTACACTTGGCATCATAGCAGGCTCTGGGGAAACAAAAGATAAATAAAATGCAACCTCTGACTCCTATGAGCTTGCAGAAATAGTACCAACAGTCATGTGAAAACAGATCATTGCAATAGAATCATTAATATTTTAAAAGGGACCTCTACAGTGGAGGAAGGAAAGGTTTGGCCAAAGATGAGTCTGGATCAAGGTTGGAGGGGAATGTATTGTAGGTGACTCAAATCGGTTTCCACTGTACTCTATAGGCTGGGATTTCATACATCCATGCCATTAATTATATCCCTTGACAGAAGTGTTGCTAGCCCAAAAAGCTCTGGAAATACCGAATACTACACTACTGTCTTGGAAAATCACTAGATGTCTGTTAACATAGTAATGAGTTTTATAAGCCTTTGCTCTACAAACCTTTTTAATTTGAGGAACTTTAAATATATTGATGCCTGTGTCCCCTACCCCAGAGATTCTGATATAATCAGTCTGAGGGTGTGCCTAACTATCAATTTTAAAAATTGCTCCAGGCAATTCTAATGTGGAGGCAAGGTTGAGAACCACTATCCAATATGCTTAACCACAGAACCAGCACCATTATCACCATCTGGAACTTGTTAATAATATAATTTTACCCATGCCTACCATATGTACTGATCAGAAACTCCGGGGCTGGGCCCCAGCAGTCTGTGTCCTGCAGGTAGTTCTGTGCAGTCAGAGACCTAGCTCCACTGGCCTAAGTGGGGCTCAGCCCAGGTGGCCGATTATAATCACCTGGGGGCTTTGAAAAAATAACAAAGTCAGGGTCCTACCCCAAACCTATTAAATCTGACTCGCTGGGGGTGAGACCTGAGCATAAGCATTGTTACCAGTTCCCCAGGTGATTCTCGGGTGGAGCCAGGGTGGAGAAGGTTTATACAGATGCATGTACGGCGTCCGTGGTTGCATCTGAAGATACCACTTGGATTTTAAGGCTGATACAGTTTTCTTTTTCTCTCCTTTAAGGACACATACCTCCAGGAATAAGAAAATATTAGTGGTTCTGCTGTTTTTTAGCATGTGACTTGGGGTAGACTGTTTTGAGCCTTAGTCTTTATCTATAGAAGGTATAACAATGCCTTTCCAGAGCTTTTCAGAAAATTATTGTCCTTCAAAAACCAGATGCTGGCTTAACTAACCAAACCATTGATTCTCCACTTACGTGTTGGGGAACTTGTTAAAAATGCAGAATTCTAGATCTTACCCCAGAATTACTGAAATCACAATTATCTGTAGATATTTTGTAAAAGGGGGAAGTTGTATTTTCAAGAGCTTTCCAGGGACTTGTGTGCAGGTGGCAGGGGACCACACTTCGAGGAAAGAATCCAGTCTCCTATAGTGAGTATATTAGCACCCCTTGAACTGCCAGTAGAGGGCATTATTAATAAAAAGTTCTCATTTCAGCATTCATCAATCAGTGGGAAACTAAAACTGCAGTTCCCCACCCTTTTTACACAATAGGTATTTAAGTCAAAATTAATAAAAGTTAATAATTATTTTGTTAGGTATATATGTGGTCTTAAGTTTTTGAAGAGTTAAATCAAAATGAGTTCTGTTAAAATTTATTTTTGGCTAACTATGGGTGGAATTTTAAGTTTTTAAACATTGAAAAATGCACTCAATTTTGTAGTGCATTAAAATTCATTAGCATTTTTTGATGCTTGTTAAAATGGAATAGTTTGTTTATTTTTGGAAGTACATGCTTAGTGAATAAATGTCAAATCCAGTTCTTTTTATCAAAGCAAGTCATGTATGGTGTTACGTTGTGAATCAATAATAAGGTGACCTGTTAACCAGGTCCTTCAATTAAAGGAGTGAGTGAAAATGTGTTTGTTAAACTAAGAGCTTGGGCTTCTAGTTCCACATTTAACCCTTGGGCATGTCGTCTACCCTCTCAAAGTCACAGTTTCTTCCCTTATTAAATGTGAATCCCCAAGCCTTCTTCAGAGGAATAAAGGAGATGGTGCATTTTTAAACTGTAACAGCTCTACAAGCATTAGTCTTTGTTTTCTCCTTAATGTTGGTATGTTAAAATTTGTATTTCAGTTAAAATATGTATTTCAGTTTTAGTGGATTTCTAAACATGATTGAGGTAAATTAAGATTGCACTTGCCCTTACAGTTACACATTTGTGAGCAGAATACCTAATTCTGCAAAAGTTATAGGGGGTAGGGATATTGCTGATTGTTAGTTACACTTTCTGCACACTTCTTGGCTGGGAGAGGGAATTAACTTACTCGCTATTGTTTAGCAATTGCTTCTCTCTTTCTCATCTTTCCACTTACATGTATAATTTGTGCACTTTTGTCAATGGTTTCTTTATATAAACTCTGTAGAACCAGGGTTAATACTCTTTGCACATAGACAAAAGTGTTTTAAGGGCTTTTTTTAGGTCAGTATTACCTAGGCTCATTTTGCACTTTAGTAAACTTCGGTCTAGATCAGGTTACTCCCAGTATCACAAAAGCTTTTCTCTTAGTATATAAAGATTATAGAGTTCTGTTTTTAAAGTGAAAGTGAGTTTATTAGTGAAGTAATGAGACAGAGCAGGCAACTTCACAGGCAGAGCAGCCAGAGATTATAAATTTTTAAATGAAGAGTCATGTGGCATATTCTAAAAGTAAGAATAGTTCTGCTTGTACAAATATCAGAAAACATGGTTAACTGTCTGCGGATGCTTTGTGCTTGAACGGGCCTCTCCACAGAGTTAATGAAACAGGCGATGCGATCCAACTCTGAGGCATACTGTGAATGTAATCAGCTTTACCTTGAAAGCTTACCCTCAAACCGACAATGAGAGTGTTCTCAGTATGTTTTTGTGGCAGTGAAGTAGATGGTGAGCTGCCTGGTAGAAGAGGTGACGGATGTTGGATACGATCGCATTGTGCATGGGCATTGGTGCCTGGTCACAGAATGTGGTTTTGGAAAATGAGACTTCTGCTTGTATTTAGGAAAGAAAGGTGATTGGTTTTTATCCTCTTCAAAGGCTTTCAGTATCTTCCAAACTACAGTAAACTCCCTTACTGTACTGCTGTACAGCATTGCTGTGGCTTTGGTTTGAAATACTTTATAGAGCTGTTTTCCTAAGCACAATTACAGTGCATGAAGTTTGGAATTTTGTGTGTTTGTTACTTACATATATTTTGCTTATTAAGCCTCTAAAAACTGAGTTTTCCTGCTACTCTCTTACCCTATCTTAATATAAGAACAAAACGTAAGTTGGCGTAACCACACATGACTTCTGGAAAAAGGAACCCTGCGATCACAGCAGCTTTGTGGACCCACTAATGATTTAGCTGCTTCATAGAGTGTGATGTTTGCATGAGAGAGAGTATTTTATTAACACAATACTGTGAATTCCCTGCTATTAAGTCTTATGTTAACAAATGCTAAAACCACCAAACCCTACATTTTCCAGATTGCTTGGAAATAGTTGTAAACAATGAAGAGAAGTGGATGTGATCCTATGAAATTTTTCATGTGTGGAAATAGAAGCATTCTTGGGTGTGTTTCATTGAATTAAACTATAATTGTTATTTTTCCTTTACATACTGTAGTTGAGCTTAGGGCCTAATGTACAAGGAGCCATCTATCCTCAAGCAAAGCAAAACAAAACATAGAAAATTCAGCTTATTTTCAGTACCATTAATTAGGAATTCATTTTTTCCCTAAATGTATAAATTGTCAGAGAAGTTGCAGAGGTGTAAGTTAAAACCTGGGCCAACATATTTTTCATACCCATGCGTTTTCAATATTTTATTGACAGTCATTTACAATAGAATTAATTTCATGTTCAGAAATTTCATTGATAATTCTTTTTTTAAAGATCACATTAAAAAAAGATTTTACTTATTTATTTTTAGAGAGAGGGAGAGAGGGAAAGGGTGGGGGGAAAAGAGGAGGGAGAGAAACATTGATCTGTTGCCTCTTGCACACCCCCAACTGGGGACCCGGCCTGTGCAACCCAGGTCTGTGCCCTTGAGT